TAATCCTGTCTTTCCTGGCACGAGTAGCTTCTCTAAAGCACTTTTTTCCAATTTAGGGTTTATCTAGTATTCAGTTTTTATCTAGGAAAAATGAAACATATTTTTTAAATTTTCTAACCTTAGTGCGGCAGCAGTAACCACGAAGGAAGAGTGCATTCTTGGAACAAGATTGCGTCCTACTGTACGAAATCCAAATTATTCAATCGTATTAGTGTCGAGATATGACCTTTGACGAAGAAAAGCCAAAAAGAAAACAAGTTTTATAAGTTCCATAATATCAAAATTTTATTGCTGTAAAATAAGGTAAGGTCATATCTTGTTGTAGAAGGTATGCGGTTTCCAGTGGTTTCAGTTTCAATTTCTAGAAGCTCATAGTAAACTGAGTCATGTATACTTTTTTATTTATTGCCTACTACAATTTTCACGGCAGGGTTTAATGCGAAATCAACCACAACGATGCTGAGATATTCGCAAAACTTGGACCCCGGGCCAGAGCCAGGTGGAACTATGGCACAGTGTGTACTGCGTGCAGAGTGTAATACGCGAGCCCCGGAAAGGGACATCGTGGTTCAATCTGGAGCGGGGTCCAGGTTTTGCGAGTATCTCAGCATCGTTTTGGTTGATTCATGTTTACTTGAATTTGGGAAGAACAATTAATTTTCCTTGGATTGACTTCAAAGCACATCACGCATTTTATTTGCTCAGGTGAAAACTATTGGAATCTATAGATTTTTGCCAACAGGATACAAATTATCCAAGATGATGATTTTCTGGAGCCCGTGACATACAGTGCTACCACTTTATTGCTTCAAGGCTCATATCATACATTATTATATTGTATTTCTTTTCATTCATATTACTGTTATTATTATTGCTATTATTATTATTACTATTATTATTATATTTCAAACGGAAAAACAAATGAACGGCCGAAATTTTTTCGTCTATCAGGGTGATTTGGTGTTTTCTTGTGTTGGCGCAGTGGTTGAAGGCGCCACTGCGACATACACGTGGAATCCATCCCCGTACCCATGGCCCACCAAGCCCTCCATCCCTCTGGGGTCGGGAAATTGGTGGCAGACTTGTCTGGGGATAGCAGCACTGGCTCGATACATCGGTAGGCTACCACGAGTTATTGTAAAGGCCAGATATACATTCAGTCACCTCCAACAATACTTAGTGAAGTCGAATGCATGGCGCATCCCTCAGGAAATGATCAACGCCAAGAGCTCTATTCTTTTATCCTTTATCGCTCGTTTTAGCAATTGCTGTTCTTCTGTTTAAAATTTTAAAAACATGATTTCTTTTGAAGGTTTTGATCCCAAAAATATTTAAAATTGCAAGAACACTAAGTTAAAAAAATATGTATATGTACGACTATAGCGATAGAACAAAGTGTTTTCCGTAAATCTATGAAGTGGTCGACTCCTCTAATACTTAAATGATCAAGGACTCATCATCAGTTGTCGAGAAACCAGCTTCGAACGTTATGACTTTAACCCATTTGTTACCTTCATCGTTTTCGTTCTCAGCATCTTTCTTCTCTTTTGGTTTCATGGTGTGTTGATCTTGCTCTCATCGGGAAATTACGTTGAGCACATTGCAACGAGATCGTATCAGCTCACATGCTTTCTAATTTTATGCCTTATCTGTTTTTCCCGTTGGTGAAGCACCGTTTTGGAATTCGCCGAGCACTGGACTCTATTCGTGATCCTATATGCGACTAAGTGTCAATTTGGCCTATATAATGATTTGTGCTAGTTTAGTGGTGTAACAAGTTAGTAACTCCCACGTCCGACTTTCTATTAACCTCGGCATTGGTTGAACAATTTTTTCTACTTCTGTTCAGCAAACACGATGTCTAGATGTTTCTGGATCGTCTACGTACTGCGCAGCCCAGCATCGCGTACGTGATGGAGACCTTCGACGTTACCGCCCTTTATACAAACGTGTCGAATGACTCCGCAATGCAAGCCACATGCGAACTTCTTATACAACAGGAAAAAGTAATAAACATGTAGTGCCTCAAGATAGAGCAGTTGATGGCACTCTTAAAAGAATGCTTGAACTACTCAATCTTCAGATGGTCCGGAAAGTACTACGCTCAAATGAGAGGGTTGGCAATGGGACATCGACTGGCACCAAGTTTCGCCATTGCGTTTATGTCTAAGGTGGAAGCACCGGTGATTGATCTCGGGCCGCTACTCTACTGTAGATATATAGATGACTGCTTTGTTCTTTGCTCAACACAAGAAGAAATGGACAAATGTTTCGAGTTATTGAATAAACAGTCAGAGTATATCAAGTTCACCGGAGAGAAACCGAAAGAAAACTAGCTTCCATTCCTGAACGTCCAAATTAACCTGTCAGAAAATGGCTACATTACGAAGTGGTACCGAAAGCCAAGTAGTAAAAACATCTTGGTACATTCTCTACATTCTCTACAAACACCTCTCTTCTCACCCCTCTCACACGAAAACAGCGCTTGTAGGAAACATGTTTCGAACAGCAACCAACGTGTGCACGGGAAGAAAGCAAAGAGGAGTCCAGGAACTTGGTGCGGCAAATAGCTATTTTCAATGGCTACGAAACTGTAGCTCGGGATAGGTGTAGCGGAAATTGGAGGCCTCCAAACGACAACTCTAGCGATAAAAAGATACCGTTTATCCTACCTTTCATCTCAAATGTTGTAAGTGCAGCTATAAAACGCTGCTTAAGAAGGGTGGGTCTAAAGAATTCGGTAAACGTAGTTGAAATACCACCGAGTAATCTTAGGCGCCAGCTAGTTCGTAACCGCCTATGTGACCGTCTATGTGCAACCCAAAATTGCATAATTTGCCCCAATGGTAAAGAAGGTGATTGCATGAGCTCGGGTATAGTTTATCTGGTCTCCTGGTCTCCTGTAAGGCGTGCGGAGACGAATACATTGGCGAAACGGGCAGACCCCTCTGTGTCCGTATAAAGGAACGCCTAGTCGGCAAACATAAACCAAATACCCGCTAGGTACGCATAGGCCCAGAGACATAACGGGGAGGACTTTGAAGTATGTGTCACGATCCGCGCACGCGAATCAAGAACACAGGCGCGAAAAACTCTCGAGACACTCTGGATTAACTCCAGAAATCCGAAAATGAACCGTAAGGAAGAATGCCTCATTATCACGCGTGATATAGGGCAGTATATAAGACTGCTATTCTGATGGGAGGGGCACATTATGCTTCCATGTGATTTTTGTGCAGTTGGTCTTCACGCAACATAATAAGTGGAAGACCCAGAAAGCGGTGAGCGTGCGGAGCTGTGTTAAATGTGATTAAAATCTTGGTTTAGCGTTTTCTCTGTTTGGTTATGGAGGTGTTTGGCCGAATAGATTGCTGTCAACTTGACTGTCCAGGCTCTGAGGAAGGCGAAATCCGCCGAAACGTCAGCATATACGTAAATAAGGAAATAAAATAGCACCTCGTGTTAGCTGAACAGAAGTAGAAAGAATTGTTTAACAAATCAGTGTTTTTCTTCTCTTAGACAAGTATGGTCTGTCTGTTTGGCACAGCGTTGCCAACGCCAGGGGCATGGTGGAGTTTTTGGTTTGTCCAGGACGCAGAGTTCAACCTACGACTGTGTATGTCATCAAATTATTATTGTGGCTAGCGTTTCGGTAGGATCATCTGTTTTCGCAGCTACGATGATTCAAGTTGACTGTCCACAGCGACTTGTTTCTTCTTATGATGTGGCCCCTCGTAATCATCGTCTCGAGTCGAATTAGATGGAGTGGAGTTCCATACGATTGAAGTGACGTCACCCACTACTATCCTTTTATGCAGGATAGCACATCCCGATTGAATGAACTGATCTCATCCGGGATCTCCAAGAGGCGTAGTACGGTTCCAAATCCATTGTCATCCAGAATTTCCTGCTTTCATTGTGACATTTTATTCTGCAGTGGACTAAAATTAGCTGGCATCCATCTGTTAGCAAGTTGCCGACCTCGAATAGATAGGAGGCGTGGTTGACGGAGTGAGGCCAAGCCAAACAAGAAATGTGTTTTACAAGTAACCTCTAGTCACTGCATGCCTAATGTCGCTCACTTCTTTATTGGTTCTTACAAAAATTAAATGCCTACTCGCATAATAAAGGCCCTAGTCAATGCGCATCGCCGATCAAATTAAACATCCAGTCGCTGTATCGAAAGCATGCTTTTTTGGTTTTCACATCACCAACGATCACTTTTATGCTTACGAGATATGAGAAAAAAAAAGTATGCATGAGAAGGACAGTAGGAATTGCTTATTTTTACGCACAGTTATGCTAAATATAATGGAATTAATAGTAACATAATGGATAAGAGATAAATAAAACTGTCGGCGTTGATGAATCCTTGAGAGATGAACCGTGCACTCCACTTCATTAAGCATCGTTTGGAGGTGATTGAATGCATATCTGGCATTTACAATGACTCGCGATGGCCTACCGATGAGCCAGTGCTGCTATCCTCCCAGACAAATCTGTTATCAATTTTCCGACTACGGATGGATGGAAGGCTTGGTGAGCCATGGGCGTGGGGATCGATTCCACGTGTGCGTTGCAGGCCGCCTTCAACCACTGCGTCACACGCGGCATTAATAATATAATGGCAATACTACAATATGGCCTTCATCATCTAAGATACTGTTAGTCATCAATCAGCACCAAAGGCTAGGTAAGTTTTCGTCTCTACAATGTATCGGAGCTGTGCAATGGGTTCTGCTTATTTGAAGGACTCACATCGCACTTTTGCTGCAATGCTTGTTTTTCGCTGTTTTATAGGAGAAAGTAACCAAGGGTAATCGCGGGTTCAAATTTGACCTGGGGTCTGAGTTTTGCAAATATCTCAGCTTCTTCGGGGTTGCATTTCATACAATGCCCTGTCGTAGAAAAAGAATAATAGGTAGTAAATAGAAAGTTGTAAATTGATAACGTTATCTTTGTTCAAGGATCATCTAGTGAAAGTGCAATTGTTTACCGCCATGGAGGCAAAAATATGGAAGAAGGGAAAAGTTGGGGTGACCTACACTGATCAATAGTTGCTTGTTGCTAGAAGCTTTCAATAGAAATTCATTTTTTTATCCCACCTTATCGTTCCACTACGCTAGGATTTCTCATTTAAACTGACGACGTTCTGCAAAAGGCGAAGCAAAAATGGGGCACCATTTTCCAAAGCTAGATTTACTTCAGTATATTATTATTGGTGTTTCGTGATCAGTTATGGAACAATCCACTATAACCTCACAAATAGTTCATATGAAACCTTACAATAGAGGTGTACTTTCCTGAAGTCTAAGAAGTGCATTAAGAACTCCAATTTTGACTAAGAGCTTTGTTCACTGAGAAATAAGCAGTTCTGTTACGCGGCAACACCCGAACTCACAGTAAAGGTTGGAAGGTTTAGCACAGAAAGTTTCGCTCCATCCAGCTTATCAGCCGGGCCTATCACCAACGTACACACACACACACACACTCACTACACGACCCGACGCTTAATATTGTGCGGATCGCAGCACTTCTTGCATTCCATTTGTTTCCCCGCAAATTCCGCAAAGGTCTCCCACTTTGCGTGTTATTTTGGTTTCTGCTTGATTAGTTTTGATCTTCCTTATGAGTGTCGTTGAATGCTGGTCGAGTCGATTTTCCCTGCAATCCTGATACATCCGGGCTAGAGTGTTACCAGATCTTCGTCACAACTAGCAGCTACCATCTTTCGTGGATCGGAGGGAACCAGTTAATCCTAGACAAGTTTGTTACAAATCTCCTGATCTTGGAGCGAAGGGGAGGGGTGGGCTTGCGTGGCCCAAGAAAATTACGAACCTGCGCGTTTTTAACGCCACTAATACCCATTGCTCTATCTGCGCTCCCATTTACCAATCTACCGTCAAGTATTCGAGATTCCTTCAAATGAAAGTCGTGCGCTCCAGAAACCTAGAATTTTACCATGATAGAGTCTATGAACTTATATCTCTTTGGAGGAAAGGTGTAGGCTACAGTGGCTTTTACTTCGTCTAGGAGAATTAGCTATGGGCTGGACATGTATTTGAAGTTCGAGTTTAAAAATATGTACTAATAATAATGTTAATAGGACGTGTTACATGATATGTAAGACCACTACACCAATACTAGTTGTTAAGTATTGTTTATTGGAGTTTCATGTTTTGACAGAAGAAGCCGGAGCAAACGCCCGATGATGGCGAGATCGTGCTCGTACGCGAAGTGATCCACTACTCCCGACACGCCACAGTTCACAGCGCCGTCCTTTCTCCTTCTCATTCACCTCCTTCTCCTGATTCCGATCTTCCTTATGTGGAAAGAAAATCAAACATCGTTCTGAATGATTCAAGCGGGTAAGCAAACGAACGCTTTTCCATTTCAAGTTGCACAATTCTTTAACACCTACGATTTGTGGCATCCGATCCATACCGTACCGCTTTCCGATGACCAATTTTAAAGGTTTTGGATTCCCTGGATGAGTTTCTCGAAAGTGGAAACCAGTAAACACATTCGGTGATTTTTTGTTGGTTTCCCTTCCTTCCACTGTGTAGTTCTGAAATAGAGCTGGGAATTCTTTGACATTGCAAGCGCAAACATGAAAGCGACTCAGAATCAGACTTTAACCGATACTTTTTTTTTCCAATTTCAGATACAAAACAATTCGTGTCACCCAATATGATGGTACTCAGCGAACGTTCAATGCAAAAAAAACTGCACCATCACCTCCTACTTCCTCGAATCGGTCACTGCATTCGGTTTTCCAAAAAGACAAAGATTTTGTCGCTTCAATGAATTCTTTGGAAAAATCAAATTTGGATGTCGATGTGAAGGGGACAAAAGTAGAACCTGACCTACTTCGAAAGGACCTCGTTTCTGGAGATTCTACTGATATCATAGAGAATGCAGCTGAAATCATGCAAGAGTATGAAGACATAAGAAAGAAATTCGATCTCTGGCAGCTACTCCAAGCCCGGAATCGGTATTCTTCGGAGACCAGACAGCTGCACGTAAGTGAAGACATCCATTGAGTACAACTACAGACCAAATGCACACTAGTCATAACTCTTGGAGTTGTCTTTTATTCAGTCTTTAGTTGAACTTTTCATGATGCCTAATTTGCTTAACACTTAAGTTTTCGTGCCCCGATGTAAGCTCAAAAAAGTGTTCTCATCGGAATGGTCTTCCACACTACTTACGAATCATTATTCTATTATCAAATAATAATAATACCGCTAGCTTTGTTCATTGATCATAGCATACATTCCTCCATTTTTTATGAAGTCGTAGGATCAATTACGACACTTTCGATAAGGTGGCTGTTACCGTGAAACCCAAACAGTAGCGACATATTCCTCTAACTCGCTTCATCATTACAAGGTAGTCTGACAGAGTTCGTTGCAGATGGAGCTCATGCGTCAACACGATTCGCTCATGAAGAAACTACAACAAGTAGCTGAGGCGTCCGCTCCAGCGACGAAGAAAAAACCGAGTATCGCAACCTACTCCTTCTGGTATTCGCGACATTCATTTTTTGTTACTCATAAGCTTTAGGTTAGTATCCTGATGACGACGTATACATTTTCGTCGTTGTCCAGCATATTTCTGATTGGCAGTATCGTATTGAGCTTTGGGTACACAACTTGATCTCTATGGAACCAAGCAGCTCAGTCACAATGATGCTGAGGTGGCTGTTACCGTCAAATTTGCAGTAATTGTAGTAGGCAGTAAATAAAAAAATTTAACATTGTGATTTCGACTGCGGCCTCGGCTTAAATGGGTTTAGTGTCGATTTCGGCTCCCCGGATCAATCCCGTTGACGGGTGACTGCTGATGGCACGAATCGATAGGACTAGCTGAGAGAAAGGCGAAAAGAGGGGCGCGCATAGTGTGGTGGTGAACGCGTTATCCCGCGGGAAGAGTAACAGTGTTTTCGATCCCCATCGCAGACACCTGCCGTCCGGAGTTTTGCAAATATCTCAGCATCATTCTCGGAATAGTTCCGTTTGAACGGACGAATTTAATGCCACTGACGGAATTTGAAGCAAACTGAAACTTCACAAGTTTATCATCAACCACGCAACTGAAATTATCGTTAGTATCACGTGGCACATTTGCCACTTCTCACTTATTTCATTATACAGATCGCTTTTCGCTTAGAAAATTCTGGATTTGAGGGATCCAAACGACCCTTCGAGGCCGTCAATCCAACAGAATCGCTCACATAATTCGGAGTCGCACGACCGTGAAGAGCTTATTTCAAGGTGTTTTGCTTTTTCTTCAGTATTCCTAGCACTTCTTTATTGTTGCTTTGCTTTCATACCACTCTATGTTTGGCTTTTTTAACACTATATTAAATTATCATAATAGATAATAGTGTCTTTCCGTGGTGATTTCTCGCTTCATCGATGTGAGCGTACATCTTAACTGTCACTCAAAGTTGACGATTAAGTTTGAGAAATCATAACTAAAACTTGACTAAACTTATGTCGAATCAGAACGTGACGATCTGGCTGTGGATTTGTTCTCGCCAATTGTAGTACTAGGGAAGGCCTTCCCACTCAAAATGTCATGGTCTTCATGTTGCTCGAGCGAGCTCAGAATGCTGAGAAAATCTTTTACTCCAGTAGGACAACGGGGTCTTTGTTGACGTTAGCTCGAGTTGTTAATTGATTGTTGGTGATACAGATGATACTGTTAATTACCATAATAGAATTCAGTGTATACATCGTAGCAGATTGGTTTTTGAAAGTTACAACATGACTTTTGCCTTTCCCGAATATCGGAAATTGTCGTGGAGACAACATTTTTTGCGTCAATTTTTCTGCACCTAAGACGCGAATGAGTGGCGCATGTGGTGGAGTGGTCGGAGACGGCCTGCAACACACACGTGGAATCGATCCCGCGCTCATGGCCCACCAAGTCTTCCGTACCTCCGGTGTCTGCAAATTGGTAACAGACCTGTCTGATAGGATGGCAACACTGGCTGTGTACATCAGTAGACCACCGCGACTTATTGTAAAGGCCAGATATGCATTCAAACCAAACAATGCTTAATGAAGTCGAATGCATGGTGCATGCCTCAGGGATTGATCAACGCCGCGAGCTGTATCTTTTTTTTTAAGATGCGAATGTATCCAAGCATTTATGTTAAGTCAATGCCACGAACTTCACAATCTTTGTAGTTTTTCTTACGTTTTTTAAATTATTTATAACTATATTCCAGATGGGCATCAAACCACTCCCTGTCCCCGACAGCGTCAACGTCAAGTGAAGAGACTGAACGATCACAGTGCGGCAGTAAGAAATCAAGAGATGCCATTGAACGTGAAGATTCCTTCCTTTTATTCTTCGAAAACATCTTCACTGTATTTCTTCGTAAATATTGCTATTGTTTCAGACCTTATCATTCCACCGCCGGGATCTCGATCAGACTCAGAAGCCCATAACAAACAGCTTTCTTCTAGAAGAATTGAAACGACTCTAATAGATGTAAATAAAAGTAGGGAGGAGAAGGAACGAGCTTTGCAAAGGATTCTCGAGGAGGTAAACGAGTTGAAAAGAAAGGAACAAGAGCTGCGAAGAGTCGCTAGTAACTGGACTTCGAAGAAACAGGAAGGATTGGCTCCACCACAGGCGATTTCTAATGGTGGTAATATTACGACGAACGTTACAACGCCTTTGCTCCGGAAGAAATTACAAGATCATACCCTACTCAGCTCTCAAAAGGTTTTCGACCAACAAGCGTCTCCCGATGATAACAATAATCCAGTTCAAGCGCTGGTGACTTCAGTAGGGAGTCCACCGTCTTCCAAGAGAGGTCATGGAGTAAAGCCCGTGGGGAAATCTCCTTATTCCCCGAAGATCCTCCATTCAAACATTTCACTTTATGAGAGGCGAACCTCCTCACAGTCTTTTCCCTCACCTCGAGAAATCCGGATTCAGAAATCAGGTAACTTGGAGAAAACATCGCAACATCCGCAACAAGTCGAATCTCCCAATGGCTCTGCAAAAGTAGTGGGGACTTTTGTGATTTCGCAGAACGCTCTAAATTCTCAGGCTCAGTTTTCTACTTCTGTGCAGATTCCTCCAAAACTGCCATTGACAACACGAAGCACGGTTTCTCGGGAAAATATTGAGGTGCCGTCGCCTCCGATGATACCGAATGCTGACTCTAATATTCGCAAAGTAAAGGAGGCTGTAAAGCAAAGTCTTGGGCAGAAATCTGCCAGCTCACTGTTACTGCAAGCTCACCTATCCACGCTAGAATCGAAAGATCAACGAGGCGATGTGAAAGAGTCCGAGTTGGATGGCATAGCATCCACCGGATCAAAAAAGCCTTTCCATAACCACATGAACGGTCAGATTACAAGCAGCATGTCGAAAGTTCTTAAGGAAGAATTTCCATTTCTCAAGAAAGTTGGAGCTCCCGTCGAGAAAAATGGCATCACACTAGGAAAAGTTCTTGACGCTTTCTCAGAAAGTCATGACGTAAGTACTTTTAGTCAATAAGGTACTTCTTCTTTGCTGATAAAGCTAGCTTTTCCATCTGCGAAAAAGTAACTGGAAGATGTTATAAATAGGACAAGCGTATATTTTCTGTCATCCTACCGCATACATTACGTTCCTTTTTATCTCCAAAATAACATGAGCCGTTCGTGCTTCCTAGTTACTTGAATAAATATAATATAACTTCAGATATTCTAGATTTCCTACCAGCTAGTGAAGATCACCGTCTTGTTATTAAGGAAACAACTCGAGCCACAGCAGTGGAGCGACCGAAGCACGCACAGCATCCTACACCACCTCCGCCACCACCACCGACCATACTTTCCCCCCAATCAAGGTTCCTATTCCTTTCGTATGCGGTACCAATTTCATATTCTATCTACTGACGTTCGAAACAAGTTTCAAATCAAGATTTCAATGCATTTCTTTCTATTAATGTACTTTTTACGAGCGTGAGTGAATAATAATCCACAACAGCTTTGGAAAATTTTCCTTCGCTTCAACAGGAATACGAAAACTTGTGACAGTTTCATCTTCAGAGCTTCTTCTTCCATCTTGCACAAAGCTCCTTATACCGTCATCAAAAAATCGAAGAAGAAAAAAAATTTGATCGAGTAATAAACCAAGCATCGTCCCAACGGTTTACCGCCTCATCGTGAATGGGAGGTGTTCCTAGGTGTCGGACTGCGATGTACAGCAGGGTATTCATCCCCCAATAGGGTCTCCCAAGCTGAGAAGGAGTCCGGCGTTCTCATCAGGAAGCCTAGCTAAGAGTAAACCAATACGAGGATCCACGATTGCCTTTGTATCAATCTGATCGCATGGTGGCAAATCTCCCCCTAATCCACGAGGGCGGCGATTGTATGTGGTGGTGATGACTCGGGGTAGACCTTGGCCAGGCTGACTTCGGGAATTCAGGGAAACACAGTGGCTAAACAGCAAAGTTCCGGAAATTGGGGATTATGATAGGACCCGTACAACCAGCGAGGACGAGCCGTCCAAGTATCCAAAGTAATAATCCAAGCATAGTCGAGGGAATATCAGTAAGCTGTAGCAGTTTCGCCACGACATCTGTACACATTTCAATACCTGCCTGCTCGCCTCTTAACATTTAGCAACCATACATCAGTTGTTGATGAACTTTATTAATTGATACAAAGGCATCTTGACGTCACAGTTCTTCGCCAAAACGGATGCGGATGTTCAACAGGAATAAGAATCTGATTGCTGGGGATTATAAGATCTAATCTTTTCGCTTACCCTCTTCAAGGTTCCCATTTCCAGCACCGAAGCGACTTATCAGTTGTGGTTTCATAGGGCATGGCAATATCATGCCTCTAGTGCGTCTTTAAATTGTGGATTTCGTTTGATTTTTGTAAACCTGGACTGTAAATAAACTTAGCGTTAAAGTGAGATCCTAGAAAAGTCATTTGCACTTTTAGTGCGGTATTTCAAAGCCTGTTCTGCAAGTTTGCTTATCACATCCTCAGCTTCTCGAGTAGATCGGGCATCAAAACAGTATCTTCTCCACGGTTGGAACCACCAAGATACTCAAATTTGACGTATAGGTCCCATTCTCGTTGTCGGCTGTTCCTTCTATTTAAGCGGACATCAAGAAAAACACACCAAGCAAGCAAAAAAATGCCCTCTTTTTCTGAAGAAGCTTGTGCATGTGCGAAGTGCGTTGAGGAACAAGCGAAGTATGTTGAAAAATGATGCTACTACAAGTTTTCACGTTTTTCGCTGAAACAATACTTATAGCTGTATTGCAAACAACAGTTAATTCACGGTCATATAGAGGTTATGGAGTTCCAGTAATGATTCTATGCGATTTAATTTATGCTTACACGTTTAGTCTCTCTCCTACAGTGGCGGCGACACGTCCTGCAACGTCATTAATTTTGACACAGGATTTGGAGCGCCAGAAGACTAAACTGAAGCCTGTTCCAGCAGTACGTCTTCATAATGGTGTACTGAGACTAGAATTTCCTTATTCTCACTGAAAACATTGCAGATAGAGAAGTCTGCTGCTTTGATGGACGTGCGAGACAGCTTGATGGCTGAGATCAGGAATGCCGGTGGACTTCGAGCACTACGCCAAACTTCATCACAGAAAAACTGAAACGGTTGATGCAGATATCTTGAGGACATTTCTGGCAGTAACCGATTACCCTAATGCGACAAGTTAAATAAAACTTATGTCAACAGTTGCACTTTTCAAACAAATAAAAGGAATCATGAACTTCGAGTAATTATAAAAAAAATATTTTTTTAAACCAAGAACATAAGTGGTGGATTATGGCAGTCATGTATTGTACCATATTCGTAATAGAAATCGAAAGCTATCGGGTGTAGTAAACATTTATCGCTCGTGATTGTGCTGGTAAAGGTCAATGTATTAGAATGCTTAGGCGAAGAAAACGGCAATGGAGTAAAGCGAATATAAGGCGAATAAAGTCCGTAGAACACTTTCAAGGGCCGAAGGGTGTAATGCCTTCTGTACGATGAGATCAAACGGGAGTAATCCATTATAGGTTAGTGTAGCGCAGTAGTTAGAAGCGTCTTAAAATAAAAATTACACACCTGAATCGGTCGCTCTTTCGTTCCCGCATTCTGAGATCAGCAAAACTTCCATCTATTTGAGATCAATAGATGTGCACCAGAGTTGTCCGGGAAGAAAGCACTTATGATTTATTAAGTCAGTACACCGGTCGACCACCGCAACTCATTGTGTACGTTGTGGACAGGTACGCATTCAAACACTTTTACGACGTTTGATGAAGTTGGATGCACGACGCATCATTCTGAGGTTGATCAACTCGAACGCTTTGCTCTTTTTATCTGTTATCCTAACTGATTATGCCAAGATTCATTTCTCTACAAACATACGGATGTTCATCCTCCATACACCGGCCGCTTCGCGTATCTGGCCTATGTCCTGTTGTGGTCGCCACATAGTTCCATGCATGGTTCGCAGCTCAAAGTGAAGATCAAGGGTCATGTAGCGAACTGAATGAATAGCCCAGGAGTTTGCAGTGAAAAGACTCTGCTGCAGCTCATATTCATTCATATTTATCATATTAGATGGGTGCGATCAACACGCGATCTGCCTAGAAGGTACCACCGAGTAAGTGCGCTTCATTCCATCGGTGCTACACTCCAGAAGGCTCGACTTGCTGCGGTGTCAAAGACCCACAATGCGAGAACGAACGGCTGTGGACAAGCGATCGAATCAATCCGGTCGAAACGTTTGTAGGATAATACTGCCATACCAACATCAGCGGAGGGATGGAAGGCTTGATGAGCCGTGGGCGCAGGGATCGATCCCATTTATATTGCAGGGCTCCTCCGACCACTGCGCTACACGCGCCCATTACGTAAAGTATGAATAAGAAAGTCAACAACAAAATGACGACAATAACAGTTGTCACGCGGTTAGATAGGTACTAAAGAATTTCTTCAGTGCATAGCACACCTTCTGTTAATATCTTCTGGGCGCGAACTAATCGAGACAAGAATAAGCGGACAAGACCAGAGAGGAGAGCGCGAATGATCTCACCAGCCGATTGTGATTCTCCAGTGCTGTCTATAGTGTGCAGAGGTCACGGTGAGGATCGTGATCCTTCTTCAGCTATTGTTTTCATTACAGAAATGTACAGGTGTTAACCTGCAAGGACACTGCTGAGTGCTTCCTAGGCAGTCGCGAAGCATGTCCGTGATCTTACTATTAGGAAGCGTTACGCAGATACTGCAAGCAGAGCGTATAAGACATCGGTTTTTCGTATAAAAATGTTCTCTATAGAGCTCCGTTTATTAGGAATCATTCAAATGCAGATGATTACAGTGAGCAGTGTTGGGATCTCTATGGGACAGGTTTTATAGTTAATCAAAAGGTCTCAGAAGTTCATCGAAGAGAATGACACATAATCTGCTGGGTAGGATTTTGCGCCATCTTCACTTAATGCGAAAAACGAACATCACTTCGTTCAGGTAGGAAAGAATGGCAATTTAGAGTTATGAAGAAAGCAGATTAACTTTATGCTTAGATGACCGAGTCGCTCACTAAAGCCGAGTCCGCTCGAGAACACAGAAGATGTGTTAACTGTGAGAGTGCGTGTTGGTACAACGAGTGTTGAGAAACATCACAACGTACCCCAGCATTTGTTCTCGCCAACCGGAATATTCTCAGGATTCTAGCAAGCTCTGGAATTTTAACCACATGAATGCCGAGATGTGAGCAGAACTCGGAACCTTAGCTAAGCTTCGAGCCGGCGACTACCCTTTCTCTAGGGAGGCGCGTGCTATTCATTGCACCAACTGGGGTCCTTGCTTTGACTTTCTCTCAGCCAGTTTCCTCTCTACAATTATGATGGCATCAGCAATCTCCCCGTCAACAAGAACGATCTGGGAAGCACAAATCGGTATCGAACCCACTTAAGCTGAAGCCGCAGTCGAAAACACAATGTTTTAACTTTTTCTTACTGCCTACTGTGTTTTCATTGGAGGCTTCTATGTGAAATAGAGCTACAAGATTGCTGAGACTTAGCCAGAACTCGGAACCTTAGGTGATCTTCGAGTGTTTCGTAATTTCTTCAGTGGTACGGCATTTAACATTCCATATGCCATCCACGACTCATCCTGTCGATGGCAAATTGAATGAGAGTGTTTGCAGAACGAAAACTTGAACGCCATGTGCCTTAGATCTGTGCAGTTCCTCCTAGTTGTTAGCGCATTTCCCTTCCCCAGAACCGCAGTGATTCGAGTCCAGTATCTACAACGCTTTTGTTTACTTGGTGTAAACTAGTGAAGAGAACAAAATAACTAATAGTAGTGATCTCTAGAACTCCATTACATAGTGTTTGTACTCTCCTCGGAGTCGGTTCCGTCTATACTGCTTTTGATTTCCGTGCTTTCATAGTGGTACGATTCATGTTTCTATGATCCTGAAATCCTCGTCTACTACTAGAAGTTGGTCACCGATTCAATTCTGTGGGGTCCATTTATGGCTAGGATTAAAGAACTCGATTGAACCTCCGGTGAACTCTGGCTGATTAGTGATGATGACGCTTTTGAAGAGGTTGATGAGAGGAAAGCATGTCCTTAGTTGAGCAAAGAATTTGCTAGGTTTGTTGCGAACACTTTGTGTTACTTCATATTTTCGATTTTTTTTCTATTCCTTTATTGTGGTTTTCTTCGCTTTCCATCGTAGTCTTCCAGTTTAACGATTGAAGCTTCTAGAGTTAAGTGTCGCCTTCGACGAACAAGCACTCCAGAATGGTTATGAAGAAAATGAAGACGCTGAGGGTAATGTGGCATGTTGCTGTCAAGAAAACTAAAAGGTGTTCAAGTCTGTGCTTTCAGTAGTTCTTACGAGTCTTTCCTCACCATAATTATGTATATGATTCCTACTCCATGTAGTCATTCAGGGTTTTTTAGGTTCATGGGGCTAAGGCTACTTTGCATCTAATTTTGGTCCACGACTGTGTGAGTGAGGTACTGTAAAGTTACTGTCGTTTTCCGGTTATTCATTGTTGATTGATTGTAGCATTTTTGATTTTTTTTTTTTTTTGAGAGAAGCGATTATGTGCTTATGTTGTAGTTTATGAGATAAATATCTTTATACTTTTCTTGTTGTGTTGAAACTTCACATATTCTTCTGTCATGTTCCGGTGGGTAGGAAAATGCATGGCGTGGTTAGTGCGTTAAATCTCTCCAGTGGTTTTCTCAAAGGGAACCGATTCACTGAAGCCGGCTACTATCTTTGATGGTCACCTGGAAACGCCGTAGTACTGTTACCTTGTGATTACAGGAAAAATTGCGTTCGATATGTAATTGTTTCAAAATGTAAATGAAGATAGAATACCTCAAATGCCTAAAGGCAACTTCTCACAGTAACTGGACCACTTTTGCAGTTACAAGAAAATGAAACAGAGAAAGGAAGTTCTAAGTCGCCCAAATCCATTAAGGAAGGGTCTCTGTGGCGAATATACCAGTACTACTCGATCACTAATAGAATCCACGACTAAGTCCAACGGTGACACGGACACAGCGAGCACCTGCTTTGATTAAAGAGTATGAGATTTCTTACCATATGAGTGGTGTGGTATTCAGTTTGATCTCGCTCAGTGCAACCAAACCCCTATCTTTGTGAACGAGTGACTCGACAAATTGTGAAAGCTCTAGGCGATAAAATAAATGCTTTCGGGCACCACTGTCAAAACATCAGTGAAAAAGTTTGAGAGCTGGCATTTAAGACTATTTTTAAACATGCAATGAGATAAAACCACATCGGTGAGCCTAAGTGCTTCCTTGATACCAGCGCTTAGACAGAATTTGTAGTTCCAGTGACCTTAATAGGGGGCGAATAGCACAGTGGTAGTGATGTCCGTCATCACGAGCATGGTGCCAGTTCGATTTATGAAATAGGATCTCTCTCGATGGCTTATTCCACACATCCAGGCAACTTCTCAAAGTGTCGTATCGTAGGGTGCACCAGCGAAAAGTGAACTTGCTCGACAAGGTGGTATTTATATATTCTTACTTAGGTATTTGAATACTTGGATGGCCCGTCCTCACTGGTTGTGCGGGCCCCAACATAACTCAATTTTTTCGGAGTTTTGCTGGTTTGAAAGAAAGAAAAGCTTGAAAAAGTGAAAGAAACGAATGGCAAATATGTTGGCGTCCGTACAACTCGTGAGGACGCCAGCATCCAAGTATCTTGTATACAAGTAACTTTGCTGGTTTAGCCATTGTTGTTTCCTGGAGTCCCGAGTTCAGCCAGACCAAAGTCTGCCCCAGGTCGTCACTTCCACAAGCAGTCGCGGCTCTTACGGATTAGAGAGGATTTTCCACCATGCGACTAGTTTGGTATTAGGACGGTGACGGGTGCTGGTATTAGTTTACTCTTAACTAGGCTTCCTGATGGAAACGCCGGGCTTCATCTCAGCTTGAGAGACCCTGCCAGGGTGATGAATACCCCCGCTGCACATCGTAGCTCGACACCCAGGAAAATCTCCATTCCACGATGAGGCGGTAAAGCGTTGGGAGCTTTGTAAATTCCTAAGTGCACAGAATGCCGTTTCTGGTCCCTAGCTTCCTATTTCGATCTGCTTTGGATTAGCTATCGAATGAATATACACAGAGCGGTAAGAAAAACTCTGGAACGCACTGAACTAAATGTGAACACTACAATGTCCACATGGACCTCTGGTCCGAACACGTATGTACGGTTCGGTGTCCATACCGGACGATAGGAGTTATGTGTCCCCTGCTACTCTGTTTCTGCTATCACTTTGCGAATGTTAGTTCTCCCACTCGTATTCACATATTGTACTCGCCTCAGCACAGAACAAATGACCACAGTTAAGAGAAAGTTAAAGTAAGAGACTGGCCAACAGAAAGGAAAAGCGAAGGCACCGGTTGGTATGATGGATAGAACGTAAGCCCTCATCTCAGCATCCTTGTAGTTCGTGTATTGGTCCAGTCTTGCTGGATTCTCGATAACACTACGCCTCTATCACTGTCTGTCGGATGGTGATCTCAAGGGAAAGAAATTTATGCACTGATATATACGCTCGGTTTAAAGACGGATTGAGAACTTGCACCATATTCACACGAACACCTTACGAGTGCCTACCCCTTGCTTGTGGAATGCAGGATTTGCAATGTGTACTTGATACTCGATACTTGAACGGCCCGTCATCACCAGTTGTGCGGACCCCAGCATAATCACCATTTTTCGGAGATTTGCTAGTTAAACCATTGAGGTTCCCTGGAATACCGAGGACAGCCTGGCCAAAATCTACCCAGGTCGTCACCACAACAGGCAGTTGCAGTCCTTGTGGATCAGAATTGCCACTATGCAACTTTGATACAAGGACAGTGGTAGATCCTGGTATTGATTTACTCTTAGTTAGGCTTCCTGATGGATACGCCGGACTCCTTCGCAGCTTGGGAGACCCTGTCGGCTATGTTCATGGGTCCCTATTCGTGGGCTTTCCCTCAATCTCACCCGAACTCAATTCCACCGCTCCAATTGTTAGCACCACCACAACAACTGGAGGACATCAAACACTCTTCTTACCTGCCTTTTCCGTACCATTTCCCCACTAGTACCGCCAACACTTATTACCTTCCCGTGTGCTCCTATCCATTTCCCGCCAAACGAGCTCAAGACGAAGTCAGCCAATCGGCGTCGCCATGGGCAAGTATAGGGAGCAATATGGCGGGTCTTGAGTGGAACACCGAGACGGTCCTTTAAATCCGGAATGCGGCCTAAACTTTTCGCGTACGACGTCGTTTTCAAGTGGGGCGTAGGTTTTTCTTCTCCCTAGTTGTCGTGTGGTGAATTGCAGATAGTCGTCCATGGCATCCTAGTCGGGTGATTTCCACGTGAGCAGAAGGCGAAGGCACGACGGACTCGGCTGTGGTTTGTCCGGTACGTTCAGTGTGTTCAGGTGGACAGCTGTAATGGAGGAAAATCTTTTTTTTGTTTAGGTTCTGATATTTACTCTCTTATGCGTATTGCCGAACAATGACGGATGGCTGGTGTTGCGAACAAGACATTTTCCCTGTCTCACCATTCGGAGAGTGTCAGACACTGGACGAATTAGTCGAAGGACTGACTGCAAGAAAAGTGGCGGTAACTTTTTTTTACATACATGCAGTTTTTTCATAGCTACATAGTATTATCTGGAGTGCAGATGTCCCATTGAGGGTTTTCGTATACAGTTTTTTGCGAGGTGTAGTTTCCCACCCTTACTGTGCGTGCAAAGTCGAACCACATTAGGTTGGCTCTTGTAAAAGATTAGGGAGGACTCTGGTTATCGTTACTGTACGTAGTTGTCATATTTAAGTGCGCGAGGGAATGTCGTATATTCGGTGGTCTCAGTATTACTAGTTTGAATTTACGCAGTGAAAGTCCGGAGCAAATTGTGTTCAAGGATTGGGAACTTCCCGCTTATTTCTCCATGACACTGGTTATTATATATCAGTGTATTCATTGCAGTGCATTAGGCTTTAAAAAAGTTTGATCATAATATTTACTGCGGGCCTCCCAATGGTTTACCGCGTCATCGTGGCTGGGTTGTGTTCGTGGGCGTCTGGGTGCTACGCACAGAGAGAGGATTCATCCATCAACAGGGCCTCCCAAGCTGTGAAGTCCGGCGTTCCATCAGGAAACTGAGCTAGGAATAAGCCAATACCATGGTCCACCACCGTCCTGGTACGAAACTAGTCACGTGGTGGAAAATCTCCACCTGTTTCACGAAGGCGGCTACTGCCTGTGGTGGCGACGACCTCGGGCAGACTTTGGCCAGGCTGAACTCGGGACTCCAGGGAACCACATTGGCTAAACCAGCAGAACTCCGAAAATTTGGAAATTATGCTGGAACTCGTCCAACTAGTCAAGACGAGCCATCCAAGCTAAAAAGGAGAAAGTATTTACTGCTGCCACAGGAATAGTTTGTATGAGCAGTTTTTCTTCGTATCTACAAGAGTCGGCGACTATCAAGCCGATGTAGCATAGCCAGTATACAAATCTCAGAGAAGTGTAAGGTCAGGTAGAATTTGATATTTTGGTGGGGTGATTATGTATGTCTTCATTTTGCATCCGTCGACTCATACGAATTCCACCACATTTGTTGATGGTGGTTTCGGAAACGACCGAAAAACTGTTTAAGGCATATAAGCATATCATAATGCATCTAAGAAAGATATCATATCGCTGTTTCTAAATGAGCATCTTTATATATTTCTGGAATCTTGTTCATCTGCTTTGAAACATGTCCGCAGAATACAGACTTCGTTAATGCTGATCTTAAAAGTGGGCTAGAAATATCCTTGTTCCTTGTTCCGGCTTGATAATGACGAAGTTTAATGATCCATTCGCTGGTCTCTGTAATCTTTTGTTCAAACTGTCCAGGGATTAAAAGAAATGGGACAATTTTCAATGGACAGTGGGACAGTCATGTTTCATCATTTTCACGGTTCTGTTATATTGTATGACAGTTCTCCCGTTCAGTCGCAGTGCTGTGTGGTACGTCTCCGGGTTTAGAATGGAGTATTAGAACAAGGAGCACATAGTCTTGTTCGTACATACCTACGTGGGCGCTCTTACGTTTATACATACTGAATCGTCCACGTCATTTCGACAACAAACTTGGCTGGAGAACTTTTTAGTCTTCTTTAATCGTCCTTTAAATCAGAAAAGTATTAACTACGAGCGCTTGTTTCAGACCGTGGACGCAAACTCGTTCAAAAATACCACAGCAAATGATGTACAATTGGTGCCGTGTGTCATTAGGAGGAAGCATTTCGCACCAAAGATTTTGAAGAAAAAGAGTTCCTTGAATAAAATTCCCAAGGAAGCAAGTGTAAAGCATGTCACCTTCGAGGTATGTGTTCTAAGTATATTAATTGGATTAAGTGAAAAAGCGCTTCCTAAAATATCCAGCAGTCATCTTTGCATTGCCAGTTTTCGGAGAAATTTATTATTGCACATACTGTATTTTTTGAATAAATTGCAAATGTGGAGACTTTTCACTCGCTCTAGACATAGTTCTCCAGTATAGAGTTTCCCTTGGCGTGTTAAATTTCTTGGTGGTATTTCGATCCTACGTTTGCTTTGTATAGAAGGAATGCGAGCTTTGAACGAAAAATTCGAAAAGAGCTGGACTGGTAGCAGCGAAAGAAAGTCTCCATTTGTAATAAAAATCCCTATGGAGGGTTTTCTTTTTCTTCCACTAGCTAATGTTGCAAATTTTCTTACTGCTATATTATGTGACATTGCATTCTCTCTTATTATCTTGAAAGACTATGAGAACAATGCATTACGAGTAACATTGCAAACACTTTTTGCACTGATTGAATAGATAATTTCATCTTTAGAGGAAATATTTTAGGTTGAGAAAATGCTGGTTCGGGAAGGTATGGGCCAAGAGCGCGATGCTGCCAGAGATCGTCTTGTTGTAAGTGTTTTAATTTAGTTTAGTTCCATACATTGTGTGGATAAAACCTGTGGTGAAATAGTTTTCTCTACTATCCTTTCCTCAAGCTGTGCTATGTTATTAGTGCCAAGAGATGAAGTCTTCCAAAACCGCAAACCATCTATCGTGATTTGTCTTGCAGTTTTTCCGTAAACTAAGTTTTCTTCACATTTTGCATTTCAACATGTTTCCCTATGTCTTTGGGATCGTGTTTGTTGACCTAACACTCTTTAATGGCTAGTTCATCGGTAAACGATTGGAAAACAATCTTAACCCTTTTATTTACTGCCTTTTTTTCTTCTTAATGGCAGAGTATGTTGCGAAATATAACTCGTATGAAATGCTGAGATATCTGCAAAACTACGGACCGCAGGTGTATGCACTTGGGAACGAACACGCGCTGTTGTCCTTACCGGGGAGCAGCGCACTTCACCACGACACCATCCGGGTCCTTCGCTTTGCCTGTCGATTGATAGAACTAACTGAGAGACAGGCGAGACGAAGGACCCGGATGGTGTGGTGGTGAAGTGCGCTGCTCCCCGGTAAAGACAACAGCGCGTGTTCGTTCCCAAGTGAATACACCTGTGGTCCGGAGTTTCGCAAATATCTCAGCATTTCATTCGATTGGAAAACACTTATGAATATGTGTATATTCGTTCCAATAAGACTTTCATTAAACAGTGTAGTGAGCAGCTTTGCAGAAGTGGTATAGCTTAATGAGATGAATCTCCTGTCGGAGTGCTAACCATAGGATTTCGATGTTTGCGGGCCCATTCTTCGATCAACACGGCACGGTACTTCGAAATCGAGAAAAGCACTAGAGTGGCTGATTCTTCCAGCAAATTTCCATAACTTTATGCACTCTCTGAGATCAGTATAGTAGAACGCTGTAAAATAGAAGCTATGTTTTCTGATGTTAGCTCAATATTCCTCTTCATACACTGAATCTGATATAATTCAGATTGATCTATGAACGCGCGGTTCTTGTTCTCCAATGAAGGTACTGACTGACATCTTTCATGTAGCGGAAATGATAACTGCACTTGGTGCAGTTATTTTCTAGGCTTCTGTCATTACCTTTTTCCTTCGCTGTCATCAAATGGTCTTCAGATTTCTTCTGCAGCTACAATTTGTCAATTGCCCAGTGACGTACAAACCTATAGTTTACTTTAATTCGTGTACTTGTATTTTGCAGTTCTTAGTATTTGCTATTTCTCATCTAAACAGACGGGTCTATTTCGTGCTAACATCCGTACATTTTGTATAACAGGTCGAATGTTTTATTGTTGTGTACTTATTTCGCACAATGAAGTGATGACCACACCGCTCTTAGGATCAACTCCAGACCAACCAACTTTCCTACCCTTTCAGAGTCAGTAAGTTGCGCTCACGTGTAGCGCGTAGTATTGATTGGTGTGATTATGTTCTTTCGGTGCTCATATTTTAGCTCTTTGAGCTTTTCTGACGTGATTGAGGTAGGATCTGCAGATTTTTGTTGGTAAATTGTGTTTTTATAATTTGCTAAGGTAGAATTTTGTATCCTTTGTTCCCGCTAAATCTCTTGTTTTGGCATCAAAAACATCGCTGATCTTTGCATATACCCCGACTTAATTAAAAGCTCTAGAAGTGGCACGTGTATGGGTTTCCCCAAAGTTTGAAATCATTGAATCAGAAATGAATCAGAAAAGAAATCATGAAATTTCAAACAATTTTATGATGGAAATACTATTTCGAAAGTTATGTATACTTGTTACGCGAGGCGCTATACGTATGCAAGGTTTGCAACTTTTCAGTTGTTGAGAACTAGGAATGTTGTGGTCATCGTTTTATAAGCTCTCTAATGTATAGGTCTTTCATATTGTGATTGCCTAAGAATTTAAATGATGGGTGAGGTTGGAGAATATCTAATGCTATGGTGAGTAATGTTTTCAGGTCTCGTTAGGAGGAAAAGAGCCGAAAGGTAGAGCTGTGAATTACAAGGTTCTCAAGGAGGAGATCAAGGAGCGGAAAAGCGAGCGAAACAAAAGAACTGCGGAAGTGAAGGCAGTACTACGAGCCAGCATGAAGAGGAAGAAGAAATAATCTGTGTAGTTACTGTGGAAAGATAGGACTACTAAAAAGTTTCCAAAGTACACGCTGGCGTGTTCTTGTATTTGAGTATGTTAGTAGTTTCCATAAATATTTCAAAAGTGTTTTTCTACTTCATTTATCTCGGTTTAGTTATTGGGCCGCTAACGGTACTTTTTTAATTTCTACCCTGTTAACACCTTCAACATGTTTCAGTACCAGTATGGTGATGTTTCATACTGATGTCAACGCGTTAATCACTGAAAACATCCTCTAATAAGTTGTTAAATTTATCCGCTCCTTGCTATCACCATCAACAGTTTTAGCTGATTCAGTGTTTGTTTCCTAATTCCGAAGTTGTGGTTGGTCTAAGATGGTGCTCTATACCTCTCTAGTATATGCTTAATAAGGTACACTCAAATGTTGTGATCCCCCAGCGATATACAGGTATGCGTATTTGATCTGTTGTTGAGACTCGATTTGGTCTGTCTCATCTTCCTAATTGTATGAATTGACTATGGCTTATATCCTACATAGTGTCCTTCCGCTTCTGTTAAGAGACAACTGTTTTGTTCTAGACAAAAGTAAAGTGAATATCAAAGTGAGAAAGCAGATAGGTTCAAGATGCATTGTCGTGTTTGTGAATATATCCACCCTGGGTTCTATTGTTCAGTAGTGCAGCATTACTGAAGCTTGTTTCTGTTGTAGAGTAGCTCGTTGTTGTAAATACTCAACGGTCTATTTTTCCATGATGCTAAGTCCATGTCAGGATTTTAATCTGCCGATGGTATTTTGTAATAGTTGGTTTGTTTGGGATGCTGAAGAAGAGGTGATACCCTCGTTGCGATTGCCCGTGCAATGTGTACGTATCGCTTCAGAAACTTCCTTCTGAACATGTTTTTTCATCCTTCAAACTTACTCTGGAAATGATTCTGTTTTCAAGAATCATTGTAACGTTAGCTTCTTTCTGTCTAGCACGTTGATATCCTCAATTCCTCACTTACTGTGGTACACTTTTGGCCGTACATTGCGTTAGTTAGATCTTTTATGTTGTACTTTTCTAAATCTCCGTCCAAATTTAATGCTGCTGTTCTGGAAGTGACTTTTGGTGCCTGGGATCGGTTATTTTCAGGATGCCACGCTCTCGCTCACGTTCTATGAGCAGAAGTCGTTCGCGATCTCGTTCGGAATCTCCGGTTCGAAACGGTAACGGCATGGTAAGTGTGCGTTCATTATTTGCTGCTCCCTTTCCTCTTACTGTGGCTTTAGCAGTGACAGTTTGGCTGTTGGCGGTAATTTCGCTGAGGATATCGTTCATAAAGTTCAAATACAGAACTGGATTATTTCCTGCACCGGAAGTGTTTAGTTCTTTAGGTGTCCGATGTCCTCACATAGCGTGGTGCGTCCAAGCTACCGTGCTGAATGAAAGAGTTTATTGCATGTTTTGCATGAATTGCACGCTTTATCCTTTGTTCCATGGACATTCGTGAGTGTGTGGTTTGAGTAGGTATTCAGCGTTGAATTCCCCTAATTCTTGTCCAGCACATGATCGATCACATACTTGTCGGTGGCTCGTTAAATTTTCTATACCTTCGTTAGCATTTCCATATGTGTTTTAGTTGAACTGCTTATTCTTTTAACTGCCTACAAAGAAACCCCCTTATCCCTTGTTTACTTAGCAAGCTTTGAAACTGCCAGAAAGGCGCAGTGTGATAAGCGGAATCGTAAAAAATCAGTTAGAAATGCATGGCTGCTTCTATTAATATTGGGAGGTAAATTACAATTGATGGTGCAGTGTTTGTAGTCGAAAGTGGGTACTGCTTTTGCCCTACAGCAATTTTGTTTTATGCCACTTCATATCCCTTAGGTTACTTTTGCTTTTGGTTGTGTCGTACGCATTCCTGAAGATCTTCATATTGCTTTAAGTCTTGTGCTGTGTAAATGTGAAGCGGTGTAGCCATTTCATTACTTTATAAGGTAGGCGGCATTAGTGCTGCATCATTCCAATGGCAATTGCAGTAGAGTAGTTATTTCAGTGTTACTTTTCTTTGCGTTTATTCATCGTCCAATATTCACATTAGTCATTGTGGTATCCATTTATTTATGTTCACCAAGCATTAACGTTATAATGTAAATAAGTATTTCTGTTAACAAGAGGGAAGGGGGTTTCATTTGCTAAACAGCTGTCGAACTCTGCTTTTGTTGATCGGTGAATGCGGTCGTCTCGTGACGAGCTCGAGCACATTCATGGTTGGCGAGTTGGGAGAGGCAGCGAAGAAAATGAAGACATGAAGACCACTGAAAATATGAAGTAAGGAGAAATGAAGACATGTACAGAAGCGGATGCTAAATTCAAGTTGACAACAAATTGAAGATTCGTCTTTGTGGTGAGTATACACCATTGGAACACAAAGTTCTGGCAAGAACACATTAATCGCTTCATGTCTTTTGGCAGATCAAAGTTTTGCGGCTTTAAGGTGCGCATCCTATTGACGTTGCCTTCATCCTAGCAGGATGAGTAGATCTAGGAGTTAGTTCGATAGCGTGAACTTTTCGCATTAACGTGCATCTTTAAGATGATTTTTAGGTTCTGTGTTGTTGAATGACTAAACTCGGATGTGTGATTCCTTGTTGTTTAGCGTGAAAGATCTACATCGCGAACGCTGTCAAGATCGAGATCCCGTACTCGCTCGCGTTCACCGGTTAGGTCTTTTTCACCGCGCGATAGGCGTGGGCGCTCACGCTCTCGTTCTCCAATTCGTCGGGGGAGGAGACTTTCTCGTTCACTATCGCGTTCCAGGAGTGGAAGCCGATCACCGTGAGGTTTTTTATACTAGTACAAGATTTTAGATGTCGTTATCCGTTTTCGCAAGCTGTATTTCTGATTCGTAGTAGATTCAAAAATTCAGAACATGACATGCTTTTAGACCGAGACGTGATAGTCGCCGCTCCCGTTCGCGTAGTGCTCGCGGGCGAAGGGATACTTATCTACGAAGCAGGCGTGATAGTGGTGATAGGTGTGTTTGTAGATTATCTACAATATTTTCGTGTACAACTGCAGCATATCCTCGACAGTATACGCTGATTTCGATGCATTTATGACCAAAAATCACTTTAACTTCAAGCAAATTTAAATATTAACTAAAAAAATGTAAAGTTCTAACACGTAGTGAAGCCTATTAACTGCAATAAAGATCATTAGAGTCTACACATATTTGTTAGCAAAATATAGGTTCACTTATTATACCACGATGATATTTTAGTTTTGGAGAACCTGTGAGTCGTTTTTTCTTCACTCTTTCCCTGGAGTATAGTATTCGAAGCTAAGAAATATTTTAAGAGGCAAAATTCCGTCCAGTGGTACATTACTGCCTGCGGTGTGGGCAGTTGGTTCACTTGCATAAAATGTTTAAAAAATTTTGTTGCTATAGTGTTATTTTTTTACTATATTGGATAAGTATCATCTGTATCATTTACTGTTCCTGTGGTCGTTGAATGAGTGATTTGACCAAAAGGGAATTAATTTTCTGCTTGTGGTCTTACTCGCGTTAAAGAGCCAACCTGTAGACCCGTTTGCTTTAGAGGTTTGAAGAGTTTTGTAATTCTTCGGGTTTTTCGTGAAAAAGTCTTTTAGGTGTGGTTTTCTTCTTTTGGTCTTGACACGTGGGACACAGCCGCTATCGACACTTATCCATGTTATCTCCAAGACGCACGACTTGTCCGCTGCACCACCTCTATTTCGACACCCTTGCATATGTGGCGGTATTTCTGACTTTTGGTTGTTTATATAGATCGGTACTTCCAACTTCCTCTTATGTTCGTCGTGTGGGATAATTCCATTATCGTTCTTTCTACATCGAAGTGGACTACTTTGGTTGATCTCTAATATTGTTTACATGTTGACCAGGTCTAAACTATGTTAAGACAAGGAGGAGGACGGAAACGGGATTTGCACAAAGCATGTTGCTAGCTGTTCTGTTTTTTCATACTTGGTTTATGTGTAAACTTTCTAAATCGCCTCTTTCTTCCCACTGATCTCAGATGCGACGCCGTTCATCATGCCACTTCTCGATCCAATTCGAAATAACTATAGCACTGGGAGATATTCTTTCCATCGTGTATGAAGGGTGCATCAGAAACGAATTTGTTTCTTATCGTTTTCTTGAGATTTAGTTGAAGACTATGTTCTCCACGACTGCTATTGTGCAGCATTTTTTCCTCCTATGTAATGCTTGAGAACCATATCATCAGCGAAGAGTTGCTGTTCATCCATTTTCATTCTTGATAATATAACAAACTGAGTGGAATTCGTTTCGTTTGCTGATTCAAGAGAGAGATGTGATATGATACAACATGATGGCGGGTAGACGTCGACGTCGTACATCTCAGAGTAGTTAGGTTCTCTTTTCCATTCCGCTTCTGGATAGAATGCCTGTTCCTTTTGGGAATTGAAAAGCGGTAACTTATATTTTATAATCGATAAACTGTTGGCAGTGTGAATGCTCTTCCTTGTTTTAGGTCCTCAATCCTATTTTTCTCAAGAAATTGTATGTTAAACTTTAATCGGTTGTTACCTGTGGATGTTAAAGAAGTGAACAAATCCGAATCTATGTTTGTTTTGAGACTTTTTTTACTTAAATCTTACGGATTAGTTTCTTTGGATGCGAACAAACATTTTCTAGTACTGTAAGCATTGTCCACTGGAAATCTCCGAAGTCGAACTTTGAAGAGAGGCGATCTGGAATTGTTGGCTTTCATGAATGCTTTTGGTTGACGATATCATCCACTCACCTTATTATTTTCCTTTGGAGTTAGTATCACCCCATTAATGGTTCTTTAGATGGTGTTGACTTTTTTGTGAAATATCTAAAAAACTCTGGATAGTTCCAGCTCGCCTTTTTGATACTTTGAGTTCGTATGAAAAGAAGTTACGCCACTAACTCCATTTTTACCACATATTCCAAGGGTTGGTTTTTTCCAGTTATGGTAATTGGCGTTTACCAGATATGTCTTATCGACTGAACATCTGATAATCTTCTACATAAGCTTTTTAGTGTGGATCATCAAGTCCTTAATAGAGAATCCAGATGTTGGTTTGTGTATAAGTACACATTATCGTAATCCTTCTACGTTTACATAGCCTAAAACGGCACTGAGCCAGCGCTGCTGTATCCGGAGCTTTTTTAGGGATAGACGAGGAAGGACATTTTTGGTGTTTTGTCCTTCCCCATTGTAAAGGTGACGACTTTTTCAGGCGGTTTCTAACCACCTCATACAGTTCCCAGTCACTTAGTTTGAGTCATTTTACAAAATCAGGATACAAAATACAAATTATGCATACACATCTAGTTGTTCATGTAATGTATATGTGTATAAGAATATAGAAACTTCGCCTTGTCCGGAATAGAAAAAGCAAGAACATCTCCGCACAATTCCATCTGGGTTTAATTGCAAATGTAATGTCGTCTTTGATTTGTATTTGGTCACTTGTCTACCACATAGGTCAACACCTCATGCATCTCATGGTAGTAGTCGGGTATCCCTGTGAGGGAGATCCGTGAAGAATATTCGGAAATGGTATTTCGGAAAAGTGTGCGTTTGTAATGCACATTCTTTTCTACAGGTTTGTTAAATCTTTAGGTTCTATTCGCTATCAAGAAACTATCAGCAGTTAGAAAAGAAGCACTTTTGTAATATGTCGGGTGAGGAAATGACTTAGTGAGCTGCTTAGTGTTTTCATCATTTCGTGGAAGACTGGAGTGTGGACTCATGGACTGAATAGTGACAAGCTGTGAATCAGTTTACAATTGCTCTTTATTCGTTCGCTAAAGATTTTATAAAAGTGCATTACAGAGGAAGCGGAAGAGGAAGGGGACGTCTTTCTAGAAGAGATGATCCAGATCCATGCAGGTAGGTGATATGTTGCTGGGTGTTTGTGCTTGTTCGTTGCTGCTTTATTTTTTTGTAGTGGTTATCGTATAAATCTTACCTATTTATGTGTCAGATGCTTGGGTTGTTTCAATCTGAGTGTGTACACGACTGAAAAAGATCTTCGAGAGTTATTCGGAGAGTTTGGAGAAATTGAAAAGGTGATCTTTCTTAACTTCTGCTATGGTTTGCTTTGGTTCCCTAACGAACTCATTTTCAGGTCGAATTGGTCTACGATCACCCAACTGGACGTTCTCGTGGTTTTGGTTTTGTGTACTTCGAGCGCCTTGAGGATGCATGTGCTGCGCGTGACAAGCTATCTGGACAAGAAATTGATGGGCATAAGGTTTAGTCCTTATCACTGATTTTTCATTCATTCTTAACATTTAGAGATTTTTATTTGTGGATATTGTGTAACAAAGAAAATAGCGTTGTAAAGTTGTCTAGATTTCGAACATGACTCCAGCCGTCGACTTTTGAAACTTTTAGATTCGTGTTGACTATTCGCTAACGAAAAGAGCACATACCCCAACACCTGGTCAATACATGGGTGCGACTCGTGGCAGTCGAAGAAATTATGGCTACGGTAGCGGTGGATATAAGTAAGCATAAATTGTTGATTGATGCCTAACGGCATGATTTTATGTACCACAAACTTGATTTCTGGAGACTGCTCAGCTTTCTAAAATTTACTTCCTTCATCGAATGATGAACTTGTTTACAGGAGTGAACGCAGAGAATCGTACCGTGATGGTTATGCTGGTCGCAGTAGCCGGTAACTGCTTTGTTCAGTCTACTTTAGCAGAAGCTCTAGTGACGTAGGTCTGAAGTTGCTGTTTCAGTCGTCGAACTCCTTCTCCTCCACGCCGTGAACGCCATCGTTCCCGTTCCTATGACTGAACTATCGCATGTCATTATTCATCTCTCATCAATACAGTTATTAAAATAGTGGCTTAACCTGGACATACACTTTACTCCTACATAATTTCGTTAGCATTTCCATTTAAATCCCTTTTATGCTTTCTTAGTGTTTTACACAGTTTATGATTACTCACAGTGGTCTCTTCTTCGGCGTGTAATACAATGTACATTCTTGTTGTGTGGGTAGAATAAATGTTACGTCTTTTGAGATTTGACGAACTGCTTTAACAAAGATCTTCACCGAGATTGCTGCTTATAAATGGGAAGCATCAACGTGCGTTGTTCATTAGGATTAGTGTCAATGTTTTAATTCCCCTATTCGATTTACTACCCTGTTGTGGATGAAAACGGTGGAGTGGAAGAGCTTCATCCCACTCCCAATACTGCCGCTAGGTATTCTTGGGTGACGGGCTGCGATATACAGTGGCGTATTCATCGCGCCTGCAGGATCTCGCAAGTTGAGAAGGCGTCCGGCGTCTCCATCAGGAAGCCCAGCTAACAGTAAACCAATACCGGATCCACCACCATCCTGGTGCTAAAGTTGTCGCATAATAAATTCCCCTCCGATCCACAAAAGCTGGGACTGCATGTGGTGTGACGACCTATGGCAGACTTTGGCCTGGCTAACCACGGGACTCCAGGGAACCACAGTGGGTGAACCAACAAAGCTCCGAAAAATTGGAGGCTATGCTGGGCTCGCACAGTCGGTGAGGGCGGATCATCCAAATATCCAAGTACTGATAGGAACCAACGAACACATTGAAGTGTGAACAGAGCTTCAATCTTATGATGAGCTGCGATAAGGTGTTAGAGGAGAAGTGCTGTGGTTTGTCGAGGACAATTTGTTCTTGCATTCTGACATAGATACAAACGAGCAATGCATATGGGAATTCTACTATTCAGGAATAACAGATGCAAAGTAAATAGTGCATGTGAGGCAGAGCTTAGAAGCCATGTGCGATGCACGTTCTCGTTCGTTCGACCCAGCACTTCCGCTAACGAGATCGTTCATCCCTTTCAGGCGGGCGGAATTGATACTTGCATCTGGAGGTGTAGAACAACAACGTGATATACTTGTAGGAGCCATCAAGACATTGTATAGGCCAAATATACATTTAAGAACATCCACAATGTTCAGTGTGGGACCGATGCCGTGTCCCTGAGGGATAGATTACTAGCGTACAAAGTGCACCCTAACCTTGTATATATAAGAAGGGATAAACTGGTAGGCCTTGATCTATCCTTAAAGATACACCATGAATTCGACCTTATTAAGCATCTTTAGAGGTGACTTGAATGCACGTTTAGCCTATACGATGACTTGCGGTGGCCTGCCATTATATCTTATCAGTGCTACTATCCTCAAACACGTTTGGTACCAATTCGCCGGCCCCAGAGGGATGGAAGGCTCAGTGAGGTCGGGACACGGGATCGAACCAAGGACCACATGTGTATCATGCAGAACCTCTAACTACTGCGCTACACGCGGTTATTTTTGTTTGTAGTAAGAGTTTGTAGTACAAGCAACTATGATCAAAGACACATTTCATTGGACTCATGCAGTGTTGACAATGGGTCAAAAATATAACCTCTTTGAGTGGAAACTGGACCAAAGGTCCTGAATATAAAAGATATTCTTTTTATATGTATTCTTTCTCTGATGAGCTTACACGAGGTTGATAATGATGTTTATTTTCGGTTAACGTTTCGACGCCTTCGTCTTCCTCAGAGCCGATGATCCGAGTCGATGGTCCTCGCTTGTTTTTCGCCTCGACGTGGCAGCTTCGCCTTCGTGTCGAGTCAGGTCTTCTTCAGTGAGCCATCGTAGCCATGGTTTTTTTTATTACTCTTCTCTTTTTTTAGAGATATTCTTTTTGTTAAACTCGATGACAACTTTTGCACGGATAATTGAGAAGTGCCTCCCAACGGTTTCCCGCCTCATAGCGGCTGAGAGGTGTTCCTGGGTGTCGGGCTGCGATGTACAGCGGGCGATTCATCTCCTGGTAGGGTCCCTCAGGCCTAGAATGAGTCCAGCCTTTCCATCAGGGAGCCTAGCTAAGAGTAAACCAGTACCAGGATCCGCCACCATCGTGGTATCAAAGCCACATGGTGGCAAATCTTCCTCTTACCCATAAGGGTTGCGATTGCCTGTAGTGGTGATGACTTGGGGAGACATTGGGCAGGGTGACCTCGGGATTCCAAGGAACCGCAATGGCTTAAACAGCAAATCTCCAAAAAGTGGAGATTATGCTTCTGCCCGCACAAGCAGTGTGACGGGCCGTTCAAGTATCAAGTCCAGAAGTGAACAAACGGCCACGCCAAATTTTCTCAGCAGTTCTACTTAGATATTCTCTCAAAAACAACGTTTTCCACACGCACAATACTATCATGAAAAATATCCATAATTGGCCACTTTTGTCCGGAATTCCAGTTATCTTCCATTCCGTTTGGCGTTACGACCTCTCCGTTCATGGAAAGGTCTCTACGGCTATTCATTATGTGGTATGGCTCAATACATACGAACTTTAGTGTTCTATAGTATAGTTTTATAGATCGAATGGAGTGAAATGGAAAGAGAACTCGAGCAGCAATCAGTTTTCAGTGAGTTTTTGATGATTTCAAGAATACAAAGAATTGACAGCTTTACTAAAGAAAATGTAGAACGGGTAGAGAGTATGAAGGTAAGAAGAAAATATGAAGAGTGATGATGTAGCTTCTACTCCAATCATTTCTGCGGCACAAAAGTTGCTAAATCTTGAGATTTTCCACCAAACAACTACAGGCTGTTTTGAACTTCTGATTAAACAAAAGAGGAAAGGCAAATTGCGCGATTGAACCCACTTATTCCAAACATGAACGACGGTTTATATCCACCGCTATGGACCGCACAAAACAATCTAGATAAACCCGTCTTTAATAGAGGTGATTACTCTGTTACATACATTAGAACAGACTTCGCAACTGTTAAATTATGACCAGTTAGTACTACCAAGAACTCAACTACACAATCTGGCTGAGTTAACAGCAGACATAGTACCTCATTAAATCTATGTAAATTACCTATTCAAGAGGTTCCAAATCATGTTATATACATATTCGAAAAAGCCACAATACGAAGAAAGTATCCCTCTTATTTTCTTTCATGAAGTGATATCATACACAAAAAACGATGGATTTCGAAACCCGACATGCTATTTCGTGGTGGATTTCGAAGGACATTTGGTCCGAAGAGTATAAGACCTGAACACCTGAACAACATCGTGCCAGTCCTCAGCAACACACTCGCGCAACTGTTCACACGGTAGCTGTCAGAATGCAAGATTCCTATATTCATATTCCTACGGATGAGTAACAAGGCCGTGTTATTGCTCGAGGAGGGCGACTTCCACGACATCGGCAATCATCGCCCAATCTGCTTGCTCTCTGTCGTCTATAAAATTTTCACTCGAGTTATCCTAAACAGGATTGACAGAACACTGGACGAAGGAAAGCCATGTGAGTAAGCAGGGTTTCGAAAAGGATTCAGTACGATGGACCATATCCACACGATAACAAGACTTATTGAAGTATCGCGAGAGTACAAAAGACCGCTCTGTCTCACCTTCACCGATTTAAAGAAGGCTTCTGACTCAACTGAGATAAAAACACTCATGGAAGCTCTAGATAGTGAAGAAGTACCTACTCAGTAGATAGAGATTCTTCGTGAGCTTTAAAAAACTTCACAACCAAGATGTCACCATTCTACAACGATGTTAACATTGACGTCAAAAGAGGAGTTAGACAAGGCGAAACCATCGCGCCAAAATTATTTACCGCTACCTTCCAGAACGCCATGGGAACATTGGAATGGGATAATATGTAAGTGGAAGTCGATATTCGGCAATTACATCATTTTCGCTTTGCTGATGATATCGTCCTTATAACACCAAGCGGATCGTATGCTTGCTGACTTTGATACAGCCTGTGGAAAGATTGGTCTTCGATTAAATCTCACAAAACGATGTTCATGAGGAACGGATTGGTTTCGTATGCTCTATTCACACTCAACGGAGCGAACATTTTCAAATGCTCCAGTTATGGTCGGGAAATCAACATGTTGAACGACCTAGCTGGGCAGAAGGAAACGAGCGGCTTGGGGAGCTTTAAAGAGCAACGAGGATGCAGCGAAGAGAACATAGAACGCCCGACTCCGTGCCCATGTCTTTGGCTCATGATACTTTCTGCGTTAACGTATGCGTCAGAAACCTGGTCGCTGCGTAAACAGGATGAAAAATCACTCAGCGTTATCGAACACGCAGCCGAAAGGACGATGCTAGGAGCATCTCGTTTCACACAAGTAAAGGATGGGATCCGAAGCTCCGACCTGTCTCAACGACCAAAAGTCAAAGATGCCGTCCTGTACATCAAACAGTCGAAAATAAGGTGGACCGGACACGTAATGCATATGAACGGCAATCGATGGACAAGAGCCGTTAGTGACTGGATTCCTCTGGATGTTAAACGCGCTACAGGAAGACCACCGACCCGATGGTCAGAGTTCTTCACGAAAAGCCTAGAAGAAAGATATGGTGCTCGATAAGTCCCTGGAGCTAGCAGAACCCACTGGGCTACTCTTGCACGCCATAGGGAAAATGGAAGATTTGCTGGCGCCCGCTCGAGTCACTCGACCATCAAAGGGACTACAGGTGATACAGGTGATGTATATGAAGACGCGTGTGGTGCAGTGGTTAGAGTTGCACGGCTACACACATGTGATCGATCCCCGCACCCCTGACCAAGTAAGCATTCCATCCCTCCGGAGTTGACAAATTCGTAACAGACTTGTCTGAGAGGATAGCAACACTGGATCGACACATCGGTACGCCACGGTGAGTCTAGATCTGACAAGAACGATATTCATGAGGAACGGATTGGTTTCGTATGCCCCATTCACGCTCAAAGGAAAAAATGTCTCCGAATGTACCAGTTACGCCAATCTAGGTCAAAAAATCAACAATCTAGGTCCAATAACCAACCTAGCTCCAGAGTTGAGCAGGAAGAAGCGAGTGGTTTGAGGAGCTTTCAAGAACACCCTGTGAAGAGAATAAGGAATACCCGACTCTATGCCCACCTTTTCGACTCCATGATTTTCCCTGTCTTAACGCATGCGTCGAAAACCTGGTCGATGTACAAATAGGATGAAAGATCACTTATCATTATAGTACGCGTATTTGGTACGGGGATGCTAGGAGTACACACATCACGCAAGTGAACGAAGCGTCACTTCTCAGCATCACGAAGCTCTGGCTCATGTCAACGCTCAGGAATAAAATACGCTGTTCTTTATGCTAAATTGTCCAAAGTGGGAAACCGAAAGAAAACTGGCTTCCATTTCTAAGCGTTCAAATCAACCTATCCTAAAACGGCCACATCACAAAATGGTATCGAAAGCCAAGCAGTAAGAATATAGTGGTTCTACCTCTCTTCTCATCCCTCACACACTAAAAGGGTGCTCATAATAAATATGCTTCGAACCGCCGCCAGCGTGTGCACAGGTAGAGAGCAGAGGAAAGAATCCTCGAAACTGGCGCGCCAAATAGCCACTTCAAATGGTTACGAAACTGTAGCTTCTCGGCATAAGCATAGAGGAAAAACCACGCCCCACAGCGATAATTCCAGCGAAAACAAGGCTTCGTTCCTCTTGCTCTTCATTTCAAATGAAATAAGTTCAGCCATAAAACGTTGCTTAATAAGGGCCGATCTAGAGAATTCCATAAGAGTGACAGAAATACCACCAGACACTCTAAGACGCCAGCTAGTTCGCTACCGCCTACATAACCGTCTGTGTACAACGAAAACGGCATAATTTGCCCTGACGGTAGAGACGGTGATTGCATGAGTTCGGGTACAGTCTATCCGATCCCTTGCAAAGCGTGTGGAGACGAATACGTTGGCGAACGGGTAGACCGCTCTGAGTCCGCATAAATGAACACCTAGTCGGTAAATCTAAATTAAAACCAAACACTCCACTAGGCGTGCATAGGATGCAGGAATACAACGGAGAAGATCTTGAAGTAGGAGTCACTATCCTCACGCACGAATCGAAAACATCAGCGCGTAAAACCCTTGAAGCGTTCTGGATCAATTCCAAAAGCTCAAAAATGAACCGCAAGGAGGAGTGTCTTGTCATCACGCGTGACCTGGCGCCATACCTCAGGCTGATCCAATGACCTGACATGGACACAGTTATCGACCATGTATTACTCTGTGCGGCGGCTATCCACCAACTAACTTAAATACTTACAACAAATAAACGGTAGGTGTTTGAATGAAGCTGTTTCTTATGCGAATGCAAATCGATTTATCAAGTTTTATTTGCTCGGGTTATGAAAGTGTTTGGCTGAGTAGATCACATCTCAATTTGACCTTTCCAGGCTCTGAAGAAGGCGAAACCGCCGAAACGTCAGCAATTGTGTTCTAATAAATTCTATATTAACAACCTCGTGTCTGCTTATTGATGAAAAACATTGAATTATCAATTAATCCCGAGGTTAACAGAAAGTCGGTCATGGGAATTACAAATTTATTTGTTAATTTTTATCTGCTAAAGTTATGAAAGTGTTTGGCTGAGTAGATGGATCTCAATCTGACCTTTCCGGGCTCTGAAAAAGGCGAAACCGCCGAAACATCAGCTTTTGTATCCTAATAAATTCTATAATAACAACCTCGTGTCTGCTTATTGAAGAAAAACATCGAATTGTCGAAAATAAGTTGGGTCGGACACATAATGCGTATGACTATTGATGGACAAGAGCCGTTAGTGACTGGATTCCTCAGGTATCAAACATACTGAAGGAACATAATTGACTCGATGGTCATAGTTTTTCACGAAAAGCCTAGAACAAAGGTATGATGCTCGACGAGTCCTTAGAGCGAGCAGAACACACTGGATTACTCTTGTACGTGATAGAGACAAATAGATGGTTTACCGGCGCCTGTTTAAGTGACTCAACAATTAATAGGGCCACAGAAAATACAGCGATTTCCTCTTTTAAATTCCAGGGAACAAAATTCCAACTTCTGCAAATTTACTTTTACTAATTTAAACTTTGTTGTAATGCAGTGTAAACGGCTTGAAACAAGAATTAAGTATCGGCCAAGGAAGTGCTTAAGAACGCAGTACAACGTTGCACTAGAAAATATCTTCGAGCAGAACTCGACCTTCGATACGAGAGAAGTCGTGGACGTCCTTCTGTTATCGACAACGATGACTTGAACGCTTCGGTGCAAGCAAATGCACCAACAACTGTTCAGAAGCTTGCAGAAAAACTCCGGATTAGCATCTCGACTGTTTCGGAACACCTAGGAATGTGGACCCAAAAAGTTTGAGAATTAAATGCCGCACGAGTTGGCAGCACGTCCCATCTCGGACGCCTAGCCACATTTCGTGCAACCGAAGCGAAATAGGTTGAACCATCTAGGCTGTAAACCTTTGCCTCATCCAGCATATTCATCTGATTTCTCGCCTACCGACTTATATTGCCTCATTCAGCGTATTCATCTGATTTTTCATCTACTTACTTCCATATCTTCAAACACCTGGGCGAATTACCTTCAATGAATTTATCGCTTCGAGAAGCCTAGAATTTTGTGCAAGTGGCATAAACAAACCTGCTTCTCGTTGGAACATAGATTCTACCCATTCTTATTTCGATTAATAAGGTTTATTCTACGTAAGGATATGCCACTTTACAAGATAAAGATACATGTTGAGATCATGCATTAGTTTCCGAACAACCTAGTGAAATCCATACGACATATTTGAAGTATAGTTCGCAGAAAAGTGAGCACTTAATGTAGAGAAAACTTGCCACGTATATTTCAGAAAAAGCGCACCTGACTACTTAAATTCACATTATAGTATTTCAAAACCAACTTCTACTAACCCTGGGCAAAAATAACCCATATCTTCTTCGATTATTAAGCTAACAAGAGCGGATGAAAAAGGTTTATTCAGCTAACATCGTTGCGTCCTTGCTTTTTTCAGAGTTGGATTGATTCGAGTTGATGTTCCACAGATATTCGTTCTCGCGCTGTGGTTGTTCGTTGCCGCACCGAGTCGAATTCAGTGAAGTAGAGCACCGATCGAATGAAGGCATCCTCAAGTGAGACTCTTCACTCTATCGGTGAACCGATTCACTGGGATCGACTAGAGGCGAGAACAAACATCCAGATCGCGAAGACGACCACTTGTGTACCATCGACACGAACCAGTCCGGCTGTAAATAATCCCAAAACGCTGAAATATTAACCGAATTAACCTTCTTTACCAACGTCGTAAAGGCGCGCGTAGTATAGTGGTTGGAAGCCCCACTGCGACACACACGTGGAATTGACCCCGCGCCAATGGCCCACCAAGTCTTCCATCCACCCGGGGTCGGGAAATTGATACCAAACTTGTCTGGGAGGATGGCAGCACTTGCTCGATACATCGGCAGGCCACCGCGAGTCATTATAAAGGGCAAATATGCATTCAATCACCTCCAACAATACTTAATGAAGTCAAATGCATGGCGCATCCCTCAGGTATAGATCAACTCCGAGAACTTCATCCTTTATTTTGGTTACCAACCTCGTGTTAGCTTAATCAATAGAAGTACATACAATACTCCCGGCTTTAGTAACATTTCCAACCTCATTCCATGTTTAAAAGGCAATTCGCAACGTGTGCTGGATAACCTCAAGTTAATAAACTGCTTGCGCCGTTTCCGTGCACGGGACGTCTTGCCTAACCTACGAGTTATAAAAAATACTATTTTCAGAACTTTCGAGCAAAACGAAAAAGTTTCTTGTTACAGTATCCAATAAAACAAAACAGAGAAATGCATTCATCAGCGATTCGTTCTATCTATCCTCTTTGTCCAGTCATACGGTTCCCAAGCAGCCTTCATAGCATCGCACTTTGCCTTCAGCTCAGAGTAGGTTTGCGCCTTTTTCTTCCGCCATTTGCTAGGAGGTAGGTCCAACATGCCAGCAATGATCTCCTAAACATGGAATAATGTCCCCATACATTTAGAGACACCAGATATGATAGACATGACGTATTTAGAGACGTCAGACATCAGAGGTGACTGAAAAACACGAAAAGGTGACTAATTTCTACGGAATCGGATGCGAAACTTAAACAGTTTGCCGCTCGTACATGAGCAAAGGAAGAAGGGAAGCTTTGCATATTTTCTATTACATGAGCGTAGCCATTATTGAGACCGAAATCGACGGCAAAATAACTGAAAAATACAAATGACATGTCAGAAGACAAAAAATGAGTAAGAATACATTTAAAAAAACCTGAAATTTCTTGGAATTTGTCGCCGTAGATCTTTAATTTCGATCAACTTCTTGTTATGTGCATAATCCTCCTCACACTCCATTATTGCTTTCTGAAGTGATAGGAATCATACAGTGAACGGTTGTGTACACATCATAGGACCTCAGGAATGATAGACTTAAGAATAACCTTTGGAAAGAAGAACAGGTCGAACCGAACGATTTTTGAACGACTACAAATGCTAAAGAAGACCAAAAATTCCAACAGTTAGGTTATGTGTGAAATTGATCGTTCACAAATCCACCATTGTTTTCTTGAAGACCCCGTACACTACTACAACCACCTGATACGTCTTGAAAGAGAAGGCCTGACAGCGAATACGACAAATACTCTCTGCTCAATGCAAAGCGAGTAACACTTTCAATTTCTTGTGTTTCACTTTTTGAAAACATTTTTCTAAATGGTTACGGGTGGTACCGTAGTGGTGGTGATCTAGTGATCGTGCTCATTCAGTACGAAGGAGAAGTTGGCTCGCTACACCTATGCCCAACCAAGCCTCCCATCCTTCCTCCGGGATGGTGAAATGACATCAGATTTATTTGTGAAGCTCCTTCTCATTCAAGTAAGCTGGTGACCACCTACAGTTAGGAACGGGAAACGCTCTAGCTCGATTATTGCAAGAAGAATCGACTCGACCAGTATTCACCGGCATTCATAAAGGATGAAAATTCATCAACCAGCCGAACTAAAATGCAATTGGAAGACCTTTGTGGACGATGTATTGGAGGAGACCAGTCGAATGACAGAACTGGTAACAACTGCATAATATGTGGCACCGTGTAAGTACAAATAATAATAATAATAATAATAATAATAATAACAACAATAATAAAAATTTATGGATTTTCAGAACATTTGTGTATACCAGTCCCTTCTACTGGAGAGCCAGTCTCATCGTTTCCTTCCCATAGGTGTAAATTCTACGTATGAATAATAATAAAATAACCTCAAGGCAAATTCTCCGCAGTTGCACAGGCATATTTTATGGCGATAAGGGTATTTCACTTTCATTGTAAGAAGTGCTAGCTCAACTATGCCCACGTTGATTTATTGGTATCGAACAATGTCTTAAAAATCAATGAAGTTCATCATGTGCCCTCTTAGAAAACGACTGATCCAGCGGCGATGGAATGAGAAAAATGCGGACAAACACCGAATTCGGCGTAAAGGTCGCCGCGACCCCGCTTAACGAACTTCATGAGTGAAGACGGACTGGCGTCGTATTCGGAGAGCTGATAGACATGTCGTACCTCAATCACCCCCATGTCAACCAGCTAGAAATCAAACAAAAACTGAACGGAACAAAGATCTGAGAAAATTCCTCTCCTCGATCAGATTGTCACAAGCCTCATAGCTAACGTATTTTCTACCGTTTAGCTCAAATACAATGTTAATAATTAAACATTAGGACTTGATAAGATTATCTAGATTTTTTCAGCTAATATTCCGTTTCCGTTAAGAATGTCAATTATAAAACGCCACAAATCAGCTGCCTACAATTCGTTTTTCTGTCTTCGACTTTGTGCAACCAAGTGAACATGCTTCTTCACTTCAATCCAAGTGTTCTACATAGTGACTTTATGGTGTCAAAGGGATAAACCGTATAGAACACAAAAATAATTCTATAGAAGTAATTTCGTTCTCTTTCTTTCGAAAAGGACAATTATGAATTTGTTGATGAAGAATAATTTCGCTATGATGGAAGAAACACTTCGAAAAAAGGAAGGGGAAGGTTAGGTGAGGTACAAATACTTACGAATCAATTAGTGAAGACCCGTTTAGATGTCAGTTTCTTATGACTGCGTACTCGATTCGGTGATAAAGCAAAGTTCCTTTAACAAAATATAAGACCTTTAGATTTAGAATTTTTGATGTGTTTCTATCGTCTTAAAGGTTTTGAAATGCAAACCAAAAACATCCCAGTCGACAAAACGGAGATGACATTATAAACAACCAGACGCTCAAGTAGCACCTGCAGTAAAAGCTACTAAAATTTAAAAATTCTTGCCTTAAGGATAAGTTATTTCGTCTTAAAAGCTAAATGAGTTCTCGGCGTTGATCAATCTCTGAGGGATGCGCCATGCGCTCGACTTCATTAGGCATCGTTGGAGATGATTGAATGCTTTGAATGATTGCATACCTGGCCTTTACAATGACTTGCGGTGGCCGGTCTTTGTTTTACTACAATGCAACTATGGTTTTCTGTGGCAAATGACATCTATTTCTCCCACTTTATTATTTCAGCGCTCGTAATCCCTATATAAATTTCAAAGATACAAATCTCGATCAGAAATTTTTTGAAAGCTTTAATTCTAAATATATTTAAAATAAAAGAAACACATTGATACAATAGAGCAAAGTTTTTCCTGTAAACCTATAAAGTGCTGAACTCCAGAACTACTGTAGTGATGGAGAATTTGTCGTTTATTGTCAGAAAACCAGATTTTTCGCGAAAGGGTTAACACATAAGCCTTACATGATTAAATATGACTTATTCCTGTCCGAAAATATTCCCATCAGGGTTCACAGTTCTGCTCCAGGATGAAAAACTTTTGCTCCCACTTCTATGCATATGAAATGCTAACATTCTGAAGCACACAGAACATATCTTCGTGTTTATTTTTCATAGACGAACATCCTTCCAAACAAACAAGCAAAACAGTCAAAAGAACATCACGATGCATGTCCCTGAATGCACCGCTGATATCTACGCCTGACGTATGTGCATCAACAATGTAAAAAAATTGGTCGACATTTTAAAAATTCGAACACAAATAAATGTGAAATTAGAAGTCTACTTCATAAAAAGTACTTGCTTTTTCACTAGAGTAGTAGGGCGAAACCTATTCTACAATGCGACCAAGTCTCAATTCCTTGAGTCACTTCCTACACTAGTCACTGAAATACCAGTAGCAGCTGTACAAAAATCAGAGCTACAGCTCATGTTCAACAAAGAGAGCCACTCATTGACGTACTATCTATGGATCAAAACAATTCTACAGTGATTTGTGCTTTGTGCTTGTGTGACATTATATGTATAATTAATGTGGAAAACAACGAATATACGAAAAGTAACGTTTGAAGGAATTCGGCGATCAAGAACCAGTTGGCCACGATCATGGTGGTCGTACCGCTGTAATATCATCATATGGGTCCATAAGTGATCATTGTGGGTGGTCGGACAGATTGATAAAAGACAATTACTAATCCAGAAAAAAAAGACTGATCATCAAGGTATTTACAGCTGGGAGTTAGAATTAACGAATGTGAGTAACCCGAAAAAATAACGCAGTGTTAACATGCTCTGATGTAAAAAAAGGATAAAGTGCCTAAGGTTGATCAATCCCAGAGAGATGTGCCGTGCCTTCGACTGCATTAAGCATCGTTGGACGTGATTGACTGCATGTTTGGCCTATGCAACAATTTGCGGTGATCTACGAATGTATCGAGCCAGTGCTGCTAACCTCCCAGACAGATCTGGTACCAATTTCCCGACCTCGTAGGGATGGAAAGCTTGGTGAACCCGGAAGTTGTATCGGACCCAGGACCACATGTGTAACACAAGGCACCTCTAACCATTGAGCTACACGCGTCCTCTATGTTGTACAGTAGAATCGCTTAATTACCAAACACTTGAAATTGCGATCTTATGTACTATACTATTCATCTCTAAATTTTTCCTCTATATTCGACACCCAGGCTCAAAAGGACAACGTGTGGTTGAATGACGATGATGAATGGACGTGAGCAACAAGGTCATGGTTCCGAAGCGAAATAAATTGTATCGAAGTGCATCATTGTACTGTTCGACCTCTGAATACGCGGTTTTCAAGCACCTACGAAACAAATACGAAAAAAAACGAAATGCTCTCGTTCGTTTCGTTTAGCATTACTACCAACACCAATGATCCAATACACCCTTGTACTTGTGATTTCGTAGTAATCAGCAGTTATTATCGTTATTACAGTGTTTCGCGACTTCGTTCTCGTTTCAAGTAAATGTTTTCCTTGTCTTTCATTTCCTTCGTTTAGTGAATTACCGGCACTGAAACATAAGAATGCAATAAATGCATCACTAAAACGGCAACGAAACAGATCAATTGAACTGCTCTGCTCTTTACGATTTGTTTCGGAATGTACCTTGAGTGACATTTACTCACCAAGAAACCACTAAGAAATACGGTGATAGTTACTCGCATTGGAAAAAACTACTCATACAGAAACCGACGATGCCCACAAAAAACGACAAGGCACGTTAAGAAAACTCTGACCTTAAAATAGATTGGTGCTGTGCCGCCGACTTCGACAGGTACGGGAACGCATTCTATGACAAGATGTGCACCGTAAGCAACATTTCGTGACATTTCCAAGAATAAGCAATCTTGTCCGCTTTCACGCCACATCGCCACCAATCCTAAAACGAACGAACTGTGAACATGACAAAAAATGAGAGACCTCCAACGACAACATCCAAGTTGTTAGGGAACAACTCCGCTTTTCAGTTTTCCAATTATGCTAGTTAAAATAAAGTCACACACTGCTGAGGAATCGATGGACATTACATGCACGAAGAAACATGTTCCCCACGTCGAATTACATTCAGCAATTTGTACGGTGGAAAATAATTTTCGACAATGACGAAAACAGAAATGACGAATTGATTGCCTCAATAATTTGAAAATGATGAGGACAACGTGAAATTTCCTAGACAAGATATTATAATTCGAAAGAGCAACTTCACACATGTTTTATCGTTGCTTCAAAATCAAGCTGCCAGAATTTTTCAGGTGTGATTAACTATGCAAATATTGTTTCCAATTGTGTTATTGGGCGAGTATAGCGCAGTGGTTAGAGGTGTTGCCCAACATACACGTGGTTATCGGTTCGAACCCGCGCTCAGGGCTCATCAAACCTTCTATCCATTTGGAGTCGGCAAATTGATACCAGACTTATCTGGAAAGCAGCAGTGACTTGATACATCAGTACGCCAGCACAAGTCATTATCGTCAGTCGTCGCAAGGCATAAGTCAGATAGACATTTAATGTTCAAACGATCTGTGATGAATTCGAATGCATGATACAACTCTAGAGAAAGTGTTTAACATTTAACGCGCTCCTCAGTCATTGTGAACGGAACGACTACAATTAGTATACAATACAGAAGCGAATTAGTGGATCAACGACTCCAGAGTCCAGTCCTCACAGTATGACAGTTGGAAGCAGTTTCTCTTATGGGCTCACAGATCCATTTTCGTAGAAAAAAGGTACTCTACACTAAACAACACAAAAGAGAACCCATAACAAAGCCTGATATTAACCCTAACACAATGGACGACGTCGATTTGTCGGTATTCCTTCAATAACCAGAGTGATTGAGGAGTTAACTTGATAAACCTATACAATACTGATACTCTGCACTTTAATATATAAAAGATTTCTAGTGGGAAGTACATGAATATACATATACATATATATATATATTTGTACTTTCCACATATATACGTGCACATATATTCATATATATATATATATATGTGTATATATGTACATATATGTACATATATATATATATACCAGATATATATATATATACATATATATATATATATGTATATATTTCTACAGTACAAACAGAGCGCTCTACAAATCCTAGGATGCGTATAATTCTTGTAAACTCTTTTATTTCATTTTTAAATTCATTTTCAACGTTGTTTAAAATCGGAGTTTATAAAAAATATGATAACACAATTTAGGCCTCAAAAAATTTCAACACAGGCGCTTCAGTCGTAAACATAAACGGTATACTGGGGATGCCCTCACTTCCACGTCTACGAAATGCTGATTCATCAACTCGCTAGGGTCCTCAAAATATCTCCAACCCCACAGAGAAAATCGAAAGAAATACGTTTCATGGAGTTCGAAAAATTAGAAATTTCCTCCTGATAGAATAAGAGAACTTATGCCTCATAACGAATTTCAGTACGTGTCGAGATAAGTTGGCTATACATTTTAAAGCGAGTACTACTTCCACACCGTATACATTGAAACAAATGCGCACAGACCGTTATAAGTTTGCGCTTAGGTTAAAATTAAAGCCACAGTGCAAAAAATTAGTATAAAATAATAATTTCTGACTATGATATTCCATTAGCTAGCACCAATTAAGGATGTATGTGTTTTCAACCCATATACAACGTTCCAACTAACAAACGTAACTACTCTTGATAAATGAGCAAATTGCTTTTTCTGTCTTCACCACATCTCTGTTACCGTAGTAAAACAAGTATAAAGATGCCAGCCAAAAGCTTGCTGATGTTCTTCCCTACTTGCTCCATTGCAGTTTGAGTTTTTTACAAAGTCAATTCCATAAATAAGAAAATTTACAATGCTTCGATAGTTGAAACACCTTCAAAACAACTTTTGAAATTTCGCTACATTCCGAACACTACCAAAAATTCGAATAATTACCAAACTCCATTCGGAAATTGTCGAGCACTAAAAAATCACTAAGAATTCAAAATAACCGCAGACGCAGATTCACTTTGAGTCAGTACTAATGTGCTATTTCTACGATGAAAACTACTGATGCCCAATGTTCTCGACCTTCATGAAGCACCTGATAGCTCCTTGTAACTGATTTCAAGTGTAAACATTCACACTACTGATATCTGAATTCCATCCTTTGCTCCTTAGCCGCAACATCCCTGTTACTACATAAAAGGACTACACATTCGCCTACCTTTTCTCCATATCCGCATCTCATCCCAAACATTCTCGTCTAGTTGGATACTTGAACATGCATGTTCTGTGGGCGCAATAAGACAGTGTTGTTCATCCAAACCATCCCACTCGACTACCGCCAGGTAGGTCTGCAAAACAACCTCTCACGACTAATAAAAGCTTTAGTAACCGATGAATAATGGAAATATACGTAAAACAATACCAGTGGCTAGTACACACATCTCATAAACTGCAACGAGTTGGTACAATACCAAAACAAAGACAACTTATTAGTTTTTCTTGTATTGACTTTGTCTTTTTTATAGGTTGGTAAATCTATAAGATTTTAAACAACTGTACAACATACCGGAGAATAAATAGAAGGTAGTTCGTAGACACTATGAACAAAATGCAAAACGATCGTTTCCATTGTTGTTTTAAATGAATCTATACATTCACAAGCAATAAAGCTTGGGAAGCACAGTGACGGTGATGCGGTTCAATACGATATGGTTCGATACAGCTTGTATTTACCATACTCTTATATTTCCAGGATAGGGTGATTAGTACTAAACTTATCTCGTAACAATTCTCTTCGATCTACGAAAGCTGGCAATTGCCTTTTGGTGAATACATGGGAAAGTACCGCTTCCCAAGAAATCCGAGGAGAATCTGCATGACCATCGTTCGACGACATTCATAACGAAGAGCACAAATCTTTAAGTCCACACGCAAGATACGAAAATCTTCAAAGAATTTGAATTTGAAGAAACCAATAGAAAGCAAGAAGTGCTGAGATGTGCACAACGTATTCACGATCCACAGACTTCGGGTGTGTCACCACTTATCGACCGTATGGATTGATCATTCTCGTACGAGTGGTTATACTGCACCATGGATAGCAGCACTATACTCGTTTCAGAATATCCGTGGGTTAAACAACAATTACAAATTATAAGACCATTCTGTTCAATTTCAAAAGCTCATATTCATGACCAATTCACTTCCAATAATACCTACAACAGTTGTTTTTACTATAGCGAGGTGTGACAAGAAAAGGAACTGACTTGCTAACCGCTAAGAGTTAAGCAGAAGCAACTCATACGATTGCGGTAAACCATCGGTGTCATTGCCAACGAATCTTGCTGGACAAAACTAAATCACAGTCCTTTCTTTCACATGTTAACCCATTTTACGATAACCAACTTCTTTGGCGGAAGGAGGGAAAATTCTTCAAAAATTTGTAGTTTCTATAACAGCTACTTTCCTCAAATACGACCAAACTTCACATCTTGCACGAATCCAAACAAATCTTTTTTCAGCTTGTTTTCTCGCATCCGGCATCGACTAACGTATTCGCGTTTCTCACGTGGATTCAGGTGCCGCTGGACGAGTTTGCTTCCCAACGGATGTCGTTGAATGTTGGTCGCTTGCATCCACTCTGGAATCCTTGGATGACTGTTAGAGCCCTTAACTGCGGTCCGCCGCCACCCATTAGCGATCGAAAAACGCTCTTTCCAGACAAGTTTTGGTAACGATCTCTCGAATTTAGAGGGATGAAGGATTGCTTACTGCGGAGAACGTCAAAATGGAAACCATGCACGTATTGTTGTACAGGATCTCTAAGCACTGCATTCTCACCTAATCTTTGCTATGTTAGGTAGTTGATAAGGAAAAAAAATGACAGAAGTCGACATTATCTTCTGTATCCATTGATGGAGGGTGCAAACAGCGCAGTGGTCAGAGAGACCTTACAAAACACGTGGGATGGATTCTCGACCTACTGGTTCATCAGCACTGCCTCGATACATCGGTAGGGCACCACGAGTCATTGTAAAGGACAAATATGCATTCAGTCACCTCCAACGATGCTTAGTGAAGCCGAATGCGTGGCGCATTCCTCAGGGATTGGTCAACGCCGAGAGCTTTATGCTCTCTCCTTATCCACTGATGAAATGAAGGAAGTGTTAGGTTAACCAAGCCAAATACGAGAACAAGCTATCTAAGAAAATAAGCATGCTATTCTAAAAGTCCTTCCATCCTCTACGTGATCCCACTTCTTTTCCTTAAATGAATCGCAGACTGTTCTAGACTATGCTCGCCTTTTTTGAGAGTTGAAATTACAAAATCTGATTAGTGCCGAAAGTAAGTGTACTTCTATATAAGAGTGTGCACCCCATGATTTCTCGAGTGAATAATCGCAACCGACTAGACCACGACGATAACAACTGTCTGCTTTGTTTTGATACTGTTAAATTCCATTTACTTAAGACATATAGATTGTAATTCCTTTTCCGTAGGTGTAAGTATATCCAAGGAGCAAAGTTATCATCAGAAACAGTAGATCCTTCGGAGCGAGATGTGTCGTTAATACAAAAATAGCTGCTCTGAAACGTGAAAAACAAATCCCTAACAGTGAACACGCAGATACACTTTTCCTTCACATACTACTCGAATACCTGTATTGCCACTACTGGTCTATAACTTTGAATGAGACAAAGGTCGACACTCTCAAGAATGGATGATATACCACCGCTGCAATTCTAAGTTATTCAATTTTTTTTTATAAAAAAATTGTACCAAGGACGAAGAATTAGAAAGAGCGGTTTAGTACAAAAATGATAGAGCTATTAAATCACATGAAACCCACAACCGTTTAGACCATTATTTTGAAGGCTATTAAGAATTATTCTTTGTATTCTTGTTGAGCAAACAAGAGGTGTTCTATTCCATTATTTATAAACAAAATGACGTCTCGGCGGATTTCTCCTTCCTCAAAATCTGGAAAAGTCAGGTTGACCGCAATCTACCCACCCAAACACCTCCATAACTGGAGTTAACATTATAACCGTAGTTATAATGGTCATGGAGGTCTTTGGCTGGTTAGATTGCGATCGACTTGACTTTTCCAGGCTCTGAGGAAGGCGAAATCCGCCGAGACGTCAGTTTGTTCATAAATAATGAAATAAAATAACACGTCTTTGGTCAACAAGAATACAAAGAATTGTTCGGTCAATACTGAGGTTAATAGATATTCGGTCGTAGGAATGATTAAGAATTAGTTGAAAGAAATCATGGAAAAACATTAAATGCATGGAAAAGAAAAATAAAAACCGAGATAAGGAACCGACGCTAATTCTGTACAAATGCAAAAATCACATTAATTGATTGACGGCAAGGAATAACTCGAAATCACTTCTGTAAACCGTACTATTTAATCCATACCACGTAAATCCAAACCTCTACCCAGACTTATTACTTATCACTAAGATTGATGGACAACCAGTTTTTCGTTTGTCTCACGTTCTCAAACGTGTACGTACACGCCTCTTCGAATGTACAGTCGTAAATTTCGGCCAAAGAATACCGTAGAAATAATTTATTAAGGATGGAACATAATTTCTATATGGTCATCGGGACCCATACTATCGTTCCTTCACCCATGAATTCATCCATTTCCCTGACTTTTTGAGGAAATCAAGATGTTCCATTCAACGACGTTGCGACATTCTGCGATTAAAAAATGAATTCACTGCTTCGTCCAACCACATGGCACATGTATTCATTGCTATTAATGATCGAGTCATGCGATTGATGAATGATTTGTGGGAAAAGAATATTGCGACAGATCGCATCTTTTCACATCACTTTCTTCCCCGACAGTGACATCATTTTTGATATACTCCTAAATACAGCGTCAAACATCAACTCCACTTTACCCTGTACTCTAGTGCAGAAAAAACGACTTAATGCAATAACAGCGCCCTAAGTCGAATAATAACACAATGGCAGTCTCAGAATCACCGAGAGATAACATCTCTCTAGAACTGGATAACAATTGTTTCTTATGTTTCCATGCATATAAAGTAACCCCAGAACTACATTAAATAAACGGCTTATCTTACGTGAATTCCAACGGCGACAATAGTGTGCTTTTCTATTTTGGCACTTGTCAAACATCGGATGCAGTCGTTGAGTGAATGTTCAAGCAGTTGATGATCTAGAAATAATGGAACGCCAGTGTAAGAAAACAGTGGTAAAGAACAAATACAGGCAAGTCATCCCAACTTCCAGAACGAAAAAATAGCACCGCGTCAAAACATGCGTGAAGATGAGTCATCTACCTACTCATGATGTGATTAACTTCAGAAGCCCTAACAGCACTTGAAAATTATGGTAGAAATGGCTGAGAACAAACTCCGTTACTATCACGCCACGATAGTTCAAGAACGCATTAGCTACTTTACCTCCTGGATTTTGGAAACACAGCTAATAATGTTTCACTCATACTACACAAACACCAACATATAAATTTGCTCTCTTCATGAATAAAGAGAAAACAAATGATATTAAGATATCCTACAAGAACTCTATATAGATATCCCAAAAGGTTTATGTCGATTGATCTTCTACTAGTTACTCCATATAACTTATAGCAAGCCAGTTTTTTCCTCGTCTCTGCAACTGCCTCTTCTCTAGTACTTAGTTCCGAAAAAATAGCCTTAAAAAATTGGATTAGTTCTATTGGAAAAGTTTTCGTTAAGATAGTGTATGAGGTGTTAGGGGAGGCGCGTAGGGTGGGTTGAGGCGGAGTCAGAAGAACCCTTCGTAGCAGTTTCTCAGTGAACGCGCTCAAAATGCAGACATTGGCTCTCAGTTTTGTGTTATTATGGCCTCTAGTGTATTCCACCACCGAATGGTGGGGCGATTTACGAGCTCATCTTAATCCCGCCAGGTCGCCTGCATTCTATGACGTCACGTATGATGAAGCAGGTAAGTCTACACAGCTTATGTTTTTATGTGCATTCCGTAATACGTTCCACATTATCGAAATGACAGAGAATACAAGAGCGGTTATTCAGTTTTTTAAACTAAAAAGAACCCTATTATCAGACATATTGCTTTCTTTCTTACACACTGTCCATAAAGCACTGAGAAACGCGCTATTGAAGTATAACGACGTATTATGCCTTACACATTTCTTATTTAAATCTACGTAAGACTTCGCGAAAACTCTTAAAGTATTTGTAAGAAACAAAACAAATACGTTTTATCTCATCGATGACCCCGTACGAAAAGATATGCAAGCGGGTAAACCTTTTCCAGGTTGTCCAGAAGGATTACGTTCGGATGTCATTCCCGACTATGTCTACTTCGGCACGATGATAGCAACGATGAGTGTGAATAAACACGATGAATGTCTGCAGAAATGTGCCGAAAAGCCGCAATGCAAGGCTGTCAATTACTTCCACCCATTCGCCTTCCAGAAAAAGGGATTCTGTGAACTTCTTTCGGAAACTCAACGCGACAATCCGCGACAGATGCGACCTTTCTATATGGCCACTTATTTTGAGAACATTCAGTGCCGCGACACCGAATACACCACCAATGACCTAATCGACATTGTTCAAAGTGAGTTTTGGAGCGTTTACATACCATTTATCGCGTGATAATGCCAAGTTTATGGTTACTGCTTTCAGAACCAAAGCCAAATCGTGAAAAGGAACTTGAAATTAATAGATTGGTGAAGAAACTCCCCGACAAAGTAAATGAGTTCAACTTGGGCTTCCGGATAGCCCGCTGAATATCCAGCACATTCAACTATTCCGACGTAACAAATCACCCATAATGCCTCACATGTATCTTATGATCTCAAAGTAATTACGGGTTTCCCAACCAATCCATTATCCCAGTACATTTGGAGCCATCGTTACATAAAATCTCCGTGAACGTATAGCATTTTCAGTGTACGTATATTCTTCCAATTATTAGTGGTTCTCTCGTTCTCGGAATAAATGTACAGATCACCTTCAAATCTTCTTTTTTTCGAGACGACAGGTATCGAACGCTTACATAACGATTGAATTCTTTAAAAAAGAATCACCAGAGTAAACTGCTTCATACTCACCGTTGCATTTCCAAAAGTTTGCTAATTAGAAGCGTTTCAAGCGGTGAGCTTTCATTTTGTCTGCCACTTTATTCTACTGTATAATTAATGCCCACGCATTAAATAAGTTCTAGACATTTCATTAAGAGAAACATACCACATACCCTCATCTTCAGTCCGATTACCATGCGTTATAAGGGTCAGCACTGCGAATTATATCCTTCTTATTATGAAAGCACAAAGTTTCAGCACATTACTAATGACAGAACTGCTCTTTAAATGGTAGACTAATAAATAAGGATGCACCGATTTCGTTCCGGTGAAGGGTACTCAATCGGATCAGTTTTGAAAGGCAGCATAGAAAGATTTCAAGTGACGGTCAGCGGTAAACACGAAACTGGATGAATATATGTCCAGAGATCGATTTCTCCCTCTCTCTCTTTCTCTTTTTTTTCTCTCTCTCTCTCTCTCTCTCTGTTGAACCGGCCTGATTTATCATGTTCGTAGGAAGGCACGCAGATTTATGCCCAGTGTATATGGATGGTAACAGCATGTTCATTCGGCAAAAGCCTGCAATAATACGACTGGAAAGCAGATGGGAGTCAGGACCTACTGACCCGCTCTGGTAGACGAGGATCAATGACGACAATGCAGGTGCCCGATGGAATCATTCGATGATTTACGCTGACATAACGGGACGCAGCGAGTGTCTAGAGGAGGTTCGCAATGCACACGTGGTCATTGGTTCGATTTAGCGACCCAACCTCACAAAATCTTCCATCAGTCCGGTTTCAGCAAATTGGCACCAGATTTGTCTAAAAGGATAGCGGTACTGACTTGATACATTGGAAGGCCACTGCAAGTTATTCTGTAGACCAGATGTGCATTCAATCACCTCTAACGATGGTTAATGAAGGCGAATGCATAGCGTCTCCCCTCAGGGATTGATCAACGCCGAACGCTTTATCCCTCACCCTTTATAACAGGATATAGGGATTGAACAATTCTTCAAATTTAAAGCTAAATATACATCATATAATTCGCTGTTAAGCTACTCAACATTTTGTGCTTCTCATTAATTTTGATCATGACCGCGATGAGTGTTCAGTAAAGCAACAAGTCAATGTGCTATCAAAACCAGATGGTGCTTCAGAAAATGCAAGGTCTGCGAATAAGCAGAAACAGCAGCGGTTGTGTGCGCGTATACTGCGAGTTAGTGTAACGTGTCACACACCATTCGTTCGGCAATGCTTAGAAAACGAACTATCACACCCATAAAATTTTCATACTCACGGTTTGAATCTAAATATGTAGACCACCCATGCCCAGCAAAAGTTCATCCGTGAAGCAAAACAACGCAAACAACATTGCTTTATTAGACTTAAAAGAGTACGTAAACCGCAAAAAAAAACCACTGAGCATCTCCATTGTTAAAGGAAATTTAGCCGCCAAAACTCTGTTTAGGGATTTCAATCGAAGCAAGTTATTCAGATGATCAAAAAAGAGCCAATTTATCACATTAACTTCGTATACTTATTTACTTGACACTTGAACGGCCCATCCTCACTGGTTGTACGGGCCACAGCATAATCACCACTTTTCGGAGATTTGTTGGTTAAGTCATTGTGGTTCCCTGGAATCCCGAGGTCAGCCTGGTCAAAGTCTGCCTCAGGTCTTCACCACCACAGACACTCGCAGCCTTTGTAGATCAGCGGAAAATTTGCCAACATGTGACTTTGATACCAAGACGGTGGTGGATCCTGGTATTGGTTTACTCTTAGCTAGGCTTCCTGATAGAAACGCCAGACTCCTTCTCAGCTTGGGAGAACTTGCCGGGGGACGAATCCCCCGCTGTACCTCGCAGTCCGACACCCAGGAACACCTCTCATCCACGATGAAGAGGTAAACCGCTGGAGGGTTAACTTCGTATATATATGTGTATACACACACATATATATATGTATAATATGGCGGGTATGGTGCAGTGGTCGGAGGCGCCTTGCAATACACATGGGATGGATCCCTGCGTCTCAGGCTTAGGTCCTCCATCACTCCGTAGTCGGCAAATTCGTACTAGACTTGTCTGGGAGGACAGTAGCACTGGTTCGATACGTTAGTAGGCTACTGCGAGTCATTTTAAAGGCCAGATATGCATTCAGTTGTCTCCAACGATGCTTAATAAAATCGAATGCATGGCGCATCTCACATCGATTGATTAATGCCAAAAACTTTATCCTCTTATCCTTTATGTATATATATGCACACATATATATATATATATATATAACGGATGGTAGCGCAATGGATATTGATGCAGTCTGTCAGGAAACAAGGTGCTAGTTCGACCCCGTTTGAATGCTTTCTTCCGATCTACGTCGGAATGTCTTAACTGGGATATCTCCAAGATTGCAAGGAGAATCAATTCGACCAGCATTCTCATTCGTACAGAAGACCTAATCTTCAAGCAGCATTCGAAAGAACAAGCAAAGTGTTCGAAAACTTTTGTGGACGACGAATGCGAGGAAAACCAATCGAATGCAAGACGTGCTGGAATCTTGGCAGGTGTGATGAGGATCATGTGATATGTATATATATGTACATATATATATATGTACATATCACATAGTAAACACCATTAAAACTATTCATTGTTCAACTACAGTGACAGTCTTGGTTTCGGCAGTCCAAAAACGTTTTGAAAACATTTTCAGCGACTACTTAGTGTTGGAGGTTTTAGTTCAATATATAAAGAAGACAGAATTTCACATACCAATTCGCTCAAAGTTAAAAGTTCAAGTTTAAGATATCGCGAGTGTTTTCTACGCCTCTCGTCTAAGTTCGGATTACTATAAAAAGTAATCAATATTTCCCCATTTCTAAAGAAATAAACAGTCCAAATTGGACATAATTCAGCACGTATGGAAAAGTTACCCTTACAAATGGTCTTTGATAAAAATTTTCTGAACAAGAGATGCAATACTGAACTCTTCCTCACTCACCTACCGAATGATAGAAGTCCGGTGTTTCCATCCCATGACATCCACTCGTATTTAAAACAAATAATGGACAATGGTAAATTTTTGTTTCCTAACCGCCAAAAAAGGCATTTGTCCCAGAACTAGCACCAATAAAAAATACCGCACCAGGAAAAGAAATAACATCTCACCTTTCCTCTTTTGGTTCATGATCCTTCTCCTGTCCTTCTCCTCTTGCACACGTTTCTCCTTCTGCATTTCTGCTATGTCGTCAAGACTTTCATCATCATGTCGCCTCACTTTGGCACTTTTCTGAATAAAACTCTAAACAGTACACATATACGTGTTCTTATGAACTTCCCTTGTTGAGCTGACATATTTTTAAATCTCGGTGCTAAAAAATTCTAAACATTTATCTATAACTCAGAAATTTGGTCAAGAAATTTAACATGATATCCGTTGAACAAGAGCTGAAACTGAATTATACCTTGGAAGCACGAAGTAATGTTGAATTAGAGAAGTGATTTCTTCCGTGAGTAGATAGAAATCGATACGAAGCGTCAGTTAAGAAACGTCTGGGATCGTTACGTCAGCACATTCCACCGAAAACAAACCGACGACAAAGGGAAATTTACTCGCAATGCATCGCTGAGAGACATCGAAACACTACTGCGTGCTCTCATTCCATTGCGAATCAGAGACCAAGTAGTTGCGTAAAAATTCCGGCCATGTAGACCCTCATTACCGTCAACTCAATTGCGTTCATCACAAGAAAAGTAGATGGCTCACACTTCTCAGTAATTCAACAAGTCAACGCTGATATTCTATTCTCAACAAAACCTCACTGCAAATGGAATTCCTCCTATTTACCACACAAAAATCAACAGATGAACATCAGCTGGATAAAGCAGTCGATTCAATGGGAATGTTCTGGACCTTTTTAAGCAAATAACAATGGCACTTTTCTCATTGCAGTTATAGTACGCTCTTGACTTGCACACATAACCTGACAGCTCGTGCAACATCCACTGTGTAACCACTTTACGGTTGTCAATCGAATTGCATTTGCCTACTATTATTGACCAGACAAAGGTTTAATCGCTCAAGTTCGAAAGCAAGCTGAAGGCGAGTACGGAAGAAAATTAACGTTGCAAGACCCTACGGTCAGATACAAACAACCATCTACCACCGTGTGCCATTTCGTTAAAACCTTCTTCTCCATTTTTTTTAAACATCCTTTCTTACCACCAAATATACGTCATGGGCCTATCGGGCAACTACGTCCAACAAATCTACCGTAGTAAATCGGTAAAACCATATCTATTTCTCTCCTGTCAATCACAGACCTTCAAATATAGTAATTATACATTATGGAACTTCCAGTTAACCTTCACCGTGACATGAATCCACTTTCAAGAATCGAGCATTGCAACTTACATAACAACAACTATTCAACCAACTAGTCGCTGCACTACATAAAATACTTAATTCGTATCCCGTCCGCCGACCAGTCCGTACACAATTGCGTTGTTCAGCGACCGGCCTATGTTGATGGATCGCTAGCCTCAATTTTACATTTGTGTACACCTCAGACATGCGAGACTGAAATTGGCCAAAGATTACACCAAAGCCAAAGGTAAAACCAAGGAACATTTGAAAACCAAACGCAATAATCATAGAGCATTGCCTCCTGTTGTGGTATACCCCTTTCAAAAACAACAT